GCTGGGTGAGCAGATAGGACCACTATCTGGATTCCCGAATTGTTTTCACTTTACAGAAAAAATTTGTATCAGTCATTTAGATAAATTATGTGAATTTACATAAGATTGCGTTATCGATAGCAACACATGAAAGTAAAGGTCCTACTCAATTCAGACATGGCTTTGCATTTGAATGTGTAATGCAATGTTTACTATGTTATTTGAATAGTACTTTGAAATCAAGCTCATTGTAATATAAAAGCCGTCGTTACCCAGATACTATGGCATTGTATAAAGGGGTTATAATAGACATCGTGAAAGAAAGCGGACGTTCAAAAGAGCATCCAAACATCTACCCACCTATTTGAATTTACATAGACTGTGTTTGAAAATAATGAAATAGTCGATATACTGTATAAGCACTTCGTGAAGGAAATGTCTCTTCTCACTTAAGGCGTGCTTAGGATTGTAATACAATCCTGCTGCCATTTTATACCATTATACCAAGTTATATAATTTGCATATCATGAGTTACAAATGATGAACGGACAGGCCCTCTCACCAATCATAATTGCATACCCTAAAAGAAAGGGCGTTTCCGACACCTGAATTCAAACCATTACCGCCATTCCGAGAACCCTTTCAATTCAAACGTGGCCTTGCAATTGAATAGGCCAGTTTCGGCGGTTACGTAATGCGCGGTTACTGTAACCAAGCCCGACAAGCTTTGTCAAATCACCATTTTGAATCTGTGCATTGTGTATTAGACTGTCGGTTCTTGCCGTTAAATTGCATTCATATCTTTCTATCAAAACTGCGTGTAAATATATGAATTTCTGTTTTGGCCGGAAATGTCTTCCAACTTGCCATTCATCAAGCTGAGTTTCAAGCAGCTGCAATATTTTCTAAGAAAAAGAGGAGTTTCGACTACGGTATACACCCGAGAAAAGACTCGTTAAATTAGCGTCCGCAGTAGCGGACTAGCCTGCCCGTAGCCCCTGACCTGCGGGGTCCGTGTCACTCGGTAGACGTGACTGTATGGGGAAATTACAACGGGCAGGATTTTCGTTAAGTGAACTAGTTACATACCTCCCTTAAGTTTGACGATATTCCTGACTTTGGGACCTATGACGTATTCAATTATCTAGTAGAGAATATGGCGGACCATGCATTTATGATCGTCGAAAACTGAAGGCTTTTAAGAGTTTTGAAGACTTTCGATTGATATTTGCCGATGGCCATAGATTATGTGGCCTGGAGAAGCTCGAGTACAATCCTCCCTCTAGTTAGCTCTCGGCAGCTTATGATAGCGACTTGTGACTAGATTATACAGGTCAAACCGACGCAAAAAGACAGAACATACCAACTTGAACAAAAAGAAAAAATATATAAATAATAAACAAATAAAAAGTAGAAGTCTAGACTAGATCTAATAGAAAATGTAATAACAGTTTTATTTTTCAATGTTTTTTTTTAAATAATAATAATTGCTTCTTGAAGTTGAATAACGAAGGTCCGGCATAATAATTGTAGTCTAATACATTAACTTTTATTTTATGAAAATCAAACTTAATTCCTAATCTTATTCTAAACAATAAAATTATTCATCATCCTGATTCTTCTTCCTTGCCATCATAAGTTTTTTTTTTATTACTTTTATTATTCCCTTTTTCCATTGCTCTATCATTCTTTTTCCTTGTTCATTGTTTTTCTTCCTTTTTTCCGTTCAAAATTATTTGTTTATCATTATTCATCATTCTTATTCTAGCTCTCTGTCATCGGACGATATTATTTTATAAATATTATTTTATTAACAAAGACCTTATACCGGTATATTATATTATTACCTTTATTGTCATTATTTCTCGTTGCTTTTGTTAATAATATTGATTCTGCGGTCAGTGCTTGCTTCTCGTTAGCCGTTTCTCGTCCGCCTTGAAATAGTCCGTATCGAGGCGTTTCACAAACATTTTTTTAATCCGTAAAATTGTTTCCATTTTGAAAATGTGAATCGCGCCTACACGAACACGAACACGTGGTACGCGCGCACGCTTCTGCAAGCAGAGGTGACTGTGTGTGCGAACGAGTGGAAAATAGTTCATCACTTCTTTCATTTCTACGTCCTAATTTGTACTCAGATTCAAGCTAAGGTAAATGCAAAATTGAATGGAAATTACCGATATCGGCTAGCTAACTTATATTTTGGTGCTTCGCTTTCTGTTTCATCACTGGCTTTCAAGCCAATATCGCTTGTATCATCGACCTCGTTTTTCTTCTTTTTGAGGGGGTATCGTGCGCTGCCTGTACCGGGGACTTGGCCGAACAGGTTAAGCTGCAAGATGTGAATCGCTAGTTCTGTACCAGCAATGCTTTTCTATTATTCTTGCCTAAGACTCAGCGATTTTAAAGATCAAAAGTATGAAGAACAAAATCACATCTCAAATATATTTATTATTCAAGTTTGAAACTGCCTCCCTTTTCTTCTCTCTCTCTCTCTCTCAAAATAGCGAAAACAAACGATACGATCACACCTAGCGAACACAGTCATGGTATGCACGCAAAGTGTAGTCTGCTACGCACCGCGAGTTCTTTGCTTGTCCGACCCTCCGATTACGTAATGCGATTTAAAGGTCTCTGAATACATTACGAAACTGGCCTATTTGTAATGCTATGTTTACAAAGGTTTATGGAAAGTACCTTGCAATAAAGCTCATTGTAATACCAAGAGCCTTAATTCGCCACCCAGACATTGTGTTTTGCATAAATAGGCGTTACAAACAAAGTACTTAAATATCTTGAAAGAGAACAGATCCCCAACAGACCATTGATACATTTACCCCTCTATCTGAATTTACATATACAATAGACATGCGTTACAAAATAAAGAAATAGTCAATGTACTGTATACTCATGTTTTGAAGGAAATGTTTCTTCTCACTTCAGGCATGCCAAGAGTTGTAATACAAATCTTGCTACCATTTTTTGTTTAAATACCAAGTTATATAATTTGCATATCATGCGTCACAAAATGATGAACAAAATGATGAAGCACTACTGGCAATTCGAAATAATAACAGGGAATGTATCCGGACCGGTCCCCAAGCATTTTAGCCCCCTCAATAAACACCACCACCTGGCACCATTGAAATATTTTGGAAACCTCACTCCTACACATACTTAACCCCTTTATTCCGCAAGTGGCAAAGCTTCGAAAAAAGAACTGAAACCAACAGCCCTTGTCACGACAATCTTATTAAAATATTATCATTTATATTGCCTAATTCCTCGCATCCTACATTCTACGTATATATATATATGATGTTTTAAATGTAAATAATAGCCTAATTGTATCTATTTGGACTCTGTATAGTGTACAAGTATAATTTATCTCAAATCACTTTTAAGTATTATTTTAAGCATACAACCTTTTCAAATGATGAATTGTATTTTAATTTAACAATATTCACATATCAACATATCATGTATTCGTTGTACCTGGTTTGCTCTCTCATCTGACGATGAAGCATTCAAAAACACATACCTAGAGCCTTATTTCTGGCTTTCGTTACTCCTGATTCTTAGTTTTTACCTTATGGTATTTTTTCTTCCAACACTAGTTCTTCCTCTCTGACTCCCACCTTTTTTCTCTCCCTTCTTGATTCTCTCTCTCCCCCTCTCAATCTGATCTTCTATCAATCTATGTGCCTTTATACCATTTGATAATCCTAGCTATTTCGGTTTATTGATTAGTTGAATATTATTGCGTTACTAATTTTGTATGCAGTTATTATTTTGTATAATGCTTTTTACAATGTTCATTATAATCTGTTTTATGTCAAAGATTTGTAAAAAAAAATCGTGCAATTCAGCCTTTGGGCTGCAATGTGATTTTTTGAATAAATAAACCATTATAATAATAATATAATAATCATTGTTTTGGTTAAAACAATTAATGAAAAACCTCTGGCAAAAAAAACCTTAGCCTGAAAAAGAAAAAAAAAAGAGAGAAAAAAAAATTCTCTCAATGTTGTCACTTCATCTCCAATATTCATCATGTAAGGCATTATGGAGACGAAGTTGCACACAAATCAGACCTCGCCTTCCACATACCTTTCAACGGTGAGAAACCCCGAGACTTCACTTTATATTTCATATACACTAAGATTATATGTCATAAATTATCAGAAAAAAATGTGACACATTTTTTTCTGACACTGTGTGATATCATCTCTTGGTAAACGTACGATAATCTTCTAAATTTGTGTATTATGCCTTTATAATGAAATAAAGAAACAAACAAAATATGTTTATATGTATATACATTAAACAAAGATCACTCTCGTATACCTGACAGGCTAGTTTGACCCATAAATTTAACATTGGCCAATGTATAGTTCACAATACTTTATAGCTTGTACTTTTCTTTTCTTCGTTCCCCATTTTATCTAATTGTTTTTATCTTATTTTCCCCATCCCTTCATTCCCTTCTCCTTCCCCCCTCTTTCCTCCTTAATTCTCCTTCCTATCTCTTTCCTCTCTCTCTCTTTCTTCTTATACATATTCCATTGAATAAAATCAAGCAAAGAGGGAAAAAATTAAATGAAGGTTACTTGATCCACACTTCTCAAAGAATTATATTTTGCTTTTGTATAGAAGGTTAAAATAAGGTTTACCTTTTCATTATGAGTTTTATGAATATGACAACATCTTACAATCAACAACGCACTTTTCATCAGAAAGGTATGGACTTCCCAAAGCGCTTCGCGTATCTTCCCTATGGGACTTTCCCTTTCAAACTAGTTTATTTCAAGACTTAAGTACTTTTTGTTAAAATGAAACAATGAAATGAAATATCTCTATCTTATTTGTAAATGTAATATTTACATATGGCTATTTGATAAATAAATTGATATCCCATGGAATTTTGTCATATCAATTTAAAATGTGGCTAAATTAGAATATTGAACAAAATACGAAAGAAGTTTATGAAATGTAACGACTGGATAGTTGCTAAACTAAAAGTGCTCTGCACGTGTAGAATGTGCGTGCATGCTGGCTGGTGCTGTAGAAATGGAACACAGACTAATCGAAAATGCGAGCAAACTTTTGCAGCAAAATGTTCATCAAGCGACTTCTAAGCAAGCATCGAAGTTGTTGGCAAGGCAGTCTACGGAAAACTCGGTGGATAACTTGATTTTCTCTGGCAAGGTATTTAGTAAATTTCATGAAAAAATTACTGAAATGCCCGTGACTGGCTGCCCGTTTACTACATCTACCAGACGGGCTACCTTCGGGGGCCTTCATGCTAGGGGTCGTAAACGGCCGAACATGCCATGCGGACGCAGGCAGTGTTGAGATTCGATTGTGAAGCATGTTGTTCTCTCGTGGAGTCATTGCGGAACTATCTATGTCAGGCATTTTATTTCTTAGAGATGTTTTATTCCTTGAAAATGCATTTGTGAAAACCCTACAGTGGGAAACATAGGTAGGGAGGCCAATGCCCGGGCGTAAGGCTTCTACACCTACGATTTGTGCGCTCGTCGCCCACTTCAAAAAATTAGCAAAGGGAAAAAAATGATGTAAAAATAAAAATTGAAGAAAATATGAAAAGAAAATACAATTATACATTTCACAACATACCTATAATCACGGATCTGTAACAGTCTTTCACCATTTGTTGACAATCTTGCAGATTTTGACGTTTTTTAATCCAATAATTGTGGTTGCAGACGACCTTGACGCACTCGCACCACCGACTAAGAAAATCCTAGAGGGCGTAGAGGTTTGCTCACTAAAAACCTTCTCATTGGCAGAAGGTAGACCCTAAAAATATGGGATCCGTTTTGAGTAAAGAACTTTTGATAGAGATCAACATTTCAGATGTTCACAATTGCCACTTCTAACAACTAGAAAATATAAAGAAAAAAGATTATATCTTTTTAAATACAGATTTTTACAAACTGAACATTCGAAAGTAGATAGAGTACGATGTTTCTGTCAATCTTGCGTTGGTTTGAGCCCTATAGCTACATCCATCTCAAAATGAGAAGGAAAACAGTGAACAGTGACGTCATTGTTCGCGCCAAAAATAAAGGGTATTGCGACATAATCTGAGCTCCGGTCAGATCGTGCGCAAAGCATAGTCTTATTTATAGACCCTAGTACCTTATTCTCACAGCACTAGATACGAGTGTCGTGCAGTAATGTATGAGAAGTGTTAAAAAAGATATTTCAGTAAAAAAAAAAGTCTACGTGAGCAGTCTATACTCCAATTGAGAATTGAAATGAAAGCCATGATTTGAAGGTGTGTGTTGTATGATACATGGTTAGTGAGTGTGTATGTTACGTATAGCGAAAGGGAGAGAGAGAGAGAGAGAGTGAGAGAAATATTAGTACACGTACGTAGCATGCATGGATGTGCGCTATGATTGTGTTCGCTGCAAGATGGATTTTAATTGGACCTCGTAACTTCTCGATCGTTGATAATAAGGAATACTCATGAGGAAATCAAATTATTGGAATACACATCTAAGGTAAATATCAATGAATTATATATATTTCTTTCCTTTTTTGAACCATCGTCTTCGGCTCGTAGTAGTAGAAGATGTAATCGTTCGCACATTGATTAGAGCCACAGCGTAACAGCTTTTCGTTACCGACATTTCTCCCCCGATTTTCTTTATTTAGATCTAATTTCCTGATTTCTAAATCAGATGTAAATTAGGTCGATATGTCATTTGTCCTAATTACAGTTATCAAAATTTGATAACTTAATATTAAATAAATAATTTACGGACTTACTTATATGAATTATCCAATTTGTACCTCAGAACCGCGAAGCAGTACGTTCATGCATTCGAAATATTACCCGGCGGCCGATATATTTCCGGGTCCACCTACCAAAACATAGCCAATGGCCAATCAGAGCACTCGTTTCGTGGGAGTTCGTTGGTCAAGCTGGGCCGACTCGTATGTAGCTACGGTAGCTATTGGACGTTCGAAAAGAAAAAATTAATATTCATCAACTAAAACCAAGACGGATAATGTTGACGACGAGACTTTCTCGGATTAATCATTAATTTAGGATCTAAATGAGCAAGCTATCGTAAGTCAAATAAGCTATTTATATGTTATTTTTAATTAGACTCTAATTATTGTCATATTGCAGCATGTGTGAGGATGTAAAGAGTGAAAATCTCGTAGCATATCTCATTCATCGCGGTCCTGCCGAACCGAACCATTGGTTCCGTACAGTCCCGATAGGACAATCTTCAGTCTCTATAATCGGAGGTCTAGTGGAGCCAGACGTAGTCTCAGTGGAACAACCGAAGATTAGAGAGACTGAAGTTTTCGGTCTAGCTGAAGTCCAGCCATCAATGTGCGAACGATTACATCTTCTACTACTACGAGCCGAAGACGATGGTTCAAAAATGATGAATAGATTTCAAAATTGGCAGGAAAGAAATATTTATAATTCATTGATATTTACCTTAGATGTGTATTCCAATAATTTGATTTCCTCATGAGTATTCCTTATTATCAACGATCGAGAAGTTACGAGGTCCAATTAACATCCATCTTGCAGCGAACACAATCATAGCGCACATCCATGCATGCAACGTACGTGTACTAATATTTCTCTCACTCTCTCTCTCTCTCTCTCTCCCTTTCGCTATACGTAACATACACACTCACTAACCATGTATCATACAACACACACCTTCAAATCATGGCTTTCATTTCAATTCTCAATTGGAGTATAGACTGCTCACGTAGACTTTTTTTTTTACTGAAATATCTTTTTTAACACTTCTCATACATTACTGCACGACACTCGTATCTAGTGCTGTGAGAATAAGGTACTAGGGTCTATAAATAAGACTACGCTTTGCGCACGATCTGACCGGAGCTCAGATTATGTCGCAATACCCTTTATTTTTGGCGCGAACAATGACGTCACTGTTCACTGTTTTCCTTCTCATTTTGAGATGGATGTACCTATAGGGCTCAAACCAACGCAAGATTGACAGAAACATCGTACTCTATCTACTTTCGAATGTTCAGTTTGTAAAAATCTGTATTTAAAAAGATATAATCTTTTTTCTTTATATTTTCTAGTTGTTAGAAGTGGCAATTGTGAACATCTGAAATGTTGATCTCTATCAAAAGTTCTTTACTCAAAACGGATCCCATATTTTTAGGGTCTACCTTCTGCCAATGAGAAGGTTTTTAGTGAGCAAACCTCTACGCCCTCTAGGATTTTCTTAGTCGGTGGTGCGAGTGCGTCAAGGTCGTCTGCAACCACAATTATTGGATTAAAAAACATCAAAATCTGCAAGATTGTCAACAAATGGTGAAAGACTGTTACAGATCCGTGATTATAGGTATGTTGTGAAATGTATAATTGTATTTTCTTTTCTTATTTTCTTCAATTTTTATTTTTACATAATTTTTTTCCCTTTGCTAATTTTTTGAAGTGGGCGACGAGCGCACAAATCGTAGGTGTAGAAGCCTTACGCCCGGGCATTGGCCTCCCTACTTTGGGTGGTGCATCATCCGTGATCATGTGCATCCGTGATCGTGCGTCACGATTCTTCCATGTTGTATCGTCGACTCAACATGGCGAAGAGAAAGTATGCATGCGTAGGACGAAGAATCACTCCCTTTTTCCCATTGAAGACTTCTTCAAATTATAATTTCAAGTTGCTGGATAGATGCCCAGAGGAGTCGAGCAACCGAGTAGGCCAAAGTCAGAATTGTAATTACTCCCTTTGCATATTTTGAGATAATGTCGCCAAACCCGCTGTTAGTAGGGAGGCCAATACCCAAATCTAACTTTTTAATTACTAATCTAATTATAATAAAACAAAGTTTCTTCTTCTTCTTCCTCTGTAAATGCTACTTCATACAACGAAGATTACGCACTGCAGTGTGGTGTGTGCTATGTCCAAAATGTGTGTAGGCCTCAATCCATGTGCAAAATACAGTGATGTGCTGTTAAAAACGTGGACAGCGATGTGCTGCCATCAGTTAGACGCTTCCTTCAAAAGCAAATATTTTCTTTCACTAAGACAAATCACCCATCTGCCGACTCCAGAAGTTCCATAAAATAGGAGATATCCAGCTCTAAAGTAGGCCCTTCCTTCTACGCCTATCTGTACGTAAGAGCCTTGAAACAATTATATTTCATGTCGCAAAATTACGTTCATAACTAGACAGGCCAGGGGATAGGCATGTCATTGCCCGGACAACAAGTTCAAAACTTCGCGCGAAAGTACATTCATCATCAGCGGCTAGCCTTGAATCGGTCGCACACTTACACACCGACACGGGCATTGCAAGCCGCAGTCCTGAAATCGAGCCATTGAGGGACAAAACATGAACAGAGAGAAAAAAAATCAACGTAGATCTATGTGATTGTAATATAATCCAAGAAAAGAATTAAAATTAATAATTAGGCCTAGAGATCTACCTTAGTTATAAGTGGTATTCCAAATCCAATAGTAATTCCTCATGAGTAAAGATCAATCTGACACTGCATTATCAATGATCAAGAAGTTACGAGGTCCAATTAACATCCATCTTGCAGCGAACACAATACGGAGTACAATAGGACAACAGCATGCATGCAACGTACCCAGACGTACAGGTGTACGTGTACTATATTATTTCTCTCACTCTCTCTCTCTCCCTCTCGCTATACGTAACATACACACTCACTAACCATGTATCATACAACACACACCTTCAAATCATGGCTTTCATTCCAATTCTCAAGTGGAGTATAGACTGCTCACATAGACTTTTTTTTTACTGAAATATCTTTTTTAACACTTCTCATACATTACTGCAAAACACTCGTATCTAGTGCTGTGAGAATAAGGTACTAGGGTCTATAAGTAAGACTACGCTTGGCGCACGATCTTTCGCAATACCCTTTGTTTATGGCGCGAACAATGACGTCACTGTTCACACTTTTCCTTCTCATTTTGAGATGGATGTAGCTATAGGGCTCAAACCAACGCAATATTGACAAAAACATCGTACTCTATCTACCTTTGAATGTTCAGTTTGTAAAAATCTGTATTTAAAAAGATATAATCTTTTTTCTTTATATTTCTAGTTGTTATAAGTGGCAATTGTGAACATCTGAAATGTTGATCTCTATCAAAAGTTCTTTACTCAAAACAGATTCCATATTTTTAGGGTCTACCTTCTGCCAATGAGAAGGTTTTTAGAGAGTAAACCTCTACGTCCTCTAGGATTTTCTTAGTCGGTGGTGCGTGCGCGTCATGTTCTGCTGCTACCACAATTATTGGATTCAAATACGTCAAAATCTGCAAGATCGTCAACAAATGGCGAAAGACCGTTACAGATCTATGATTATAGGTATGTTGTGAAATGTATAATTGTATTTTCTTTTCTTATTTTCATCAATTTTTATTTTTACATCATTTTTTTCTTCTTTGCTAATTTTTTGAAGTGGACAACGAGCGCACAAACCGTAGGTGTAGAAGTCTTACGCCCGGGCATTGGCCTCCCTACTGTTAAAATGTTTTTTGATGCACCATCCGAAGCTCTGACGCCTTCAGCATCGGCGTCGGAGCTTCCCGGAGTTAATTAGGGTCTAGAGTCTAAGAGTAAGATACTAACAACAGTAACTAACACTAACACAGTCTAAACATTAAGTCTAACAATTAAAAATTATGCAAAATTGGGAGACTGATGATGACTGATGTCTGATGACGCTCCCATGAATGATGAAGAACAAAAAATATTACTGATATTTAATATTATTAGATTAGCTTGTGAAGTGAACCGTCATGCATGCATGTGTGTGGTTGATTGCTCTGCATCTGTTAAATGTCTTGCATGAATGATGAAGTCAAAAGGTTATTTTTCTCCATTTGTTTATGCAGAGAAGTGGCACTCTTCACGACTGGATAAGCCAAGTGAATGTCAACTTGAGTACATCGGCATCAAGGTAAACAACATCTCAATCTAATATAATTTTTCACGCAGTTTGTGCAATAGTGACATGCCTTTTGCAAAATACTAAAATAGGAACTGAATTAAGCAGTACAAATAGGACCTAGTATCAATACCATAGAAATACCAATGAGTAATTATGGTCTCACTAAAACTAAAGGTGGAAAGAACTGTCACATGTTGCAGAAGTAGTGTTCTCAACTTCTCATAAAGCAATATTTCGCTTTGTACTTGAACACTTTCCAGTAAACCACAATGAATTCCAAATGCACTGGATGCTTTCTGAATATGAATGATTGAAATTTATTTACTGCCTCTAGACTCACTCTGCAATACTGTGATGCTAAATGCCTTATAAATTACGAACACTTTTCTAGGTATGAACCGTAAGGGCAACATTCATTTCTTTCCGGGGCACTGCCAGACCGTTTTGAAGAGGGAGGTGTTTAGTATCAATTTGCCCAGTAGTTATTGGCTAAACAATTTTCAACAAGAATAAAAACATAAGGCATTTGAAATGCACATGTATTAGTGAATGAATAACTAAATAAACACAATAATAATGATAATAGAAAGAAAGGAAAATGTTGTTACATTGACAAATTATGTGACAAAATTTGTGTCATGGAAACGGCTGTATTTATGTTTGTTTCTGTTTTGTTCAGACTTGAAGGTCTAGTTGTTCTACGAGCTATTGTACAGCAGTGCTCTCAAGAAACATTCTCAGAGTGCTGTGTGACGTGGGTTAGACTCCTCATCAATATCTTCCAAGTAAGTTATCCCAACATTAGTTTCATATTTTGGATGATTAAACCAAAAAAGGAAAGGAGGAAATAAATGTGAATGCTACGATTTTTTTGTTTCCATGAGTATCCTGTGAGATATATTGTACATATTTGAAGAAGAAGAAAATGTGACTTGCACTTGTATATTCAAATTTTTCTAATTGACAAACCCTATCAATAAAATTAAAGTGTAGCTCACTTTGATAGTACACTTATTATGAGGATAACAACTGTTGGTAGAATAGATATTAAGATACATGTACTGTACAAGGTTAATGTGTTTTTGGTTTGTTTGTTTTTTTTCCCTTTTTTTTAAATATTTTTTTCTTCTGTTTGTAGCCTCACCAAACACCCAGCATTGTGGAGATCACATCAGGGATTCTAGTGGACATCCTCAGGATTGCATCTCGGAGCAATGAAATCTCGAGAGATCTCGCAATTAACCACATCCCTGGGCTTCTGGGAACCTTACTCAATGCTGAGTCAGAAGAGGTAAGGTAGCTGATCAGAACCAGAATGAACTGGTTCCATCTGGTTCTATGTAGTTTGTAGTGGCAATGAAATCTCAAGAGATCTCGCAATTAACCACATCCCTGGACCTCTGGGAACCTTACTCAATGCTGAGTCAGAAGAGGTAAGGTAGCTGATCAGAACCAGAATGAACTGGTTCCATCTGGTTCTATGTAGTTTGTAGTGGCAATGAAATCTCAAGAGATCTCGCAATTAACCACATCCCTGGACCTCTGGGAACCTTACTCAATGCTGAGTCAGAAGAGGTAAGGTAGCTGATCAGAACCAGAATGAACTGGTTCCATCTGGTTCTATTTAGTTTGTAGTGGTTTTTAAACAGTTGAAACGAAATTGCACCATTCACCTCCCTGGAACATACACAAAATGCTGAGTCAGAAAAGGTATATTTCAATAACTTACCTCCAACTGCAATTATGCAAATGCCAATTTTTGCACTATATCAGTATTTCTGAATAATGAATAGCTATTGGGATATTTGAATTATCTTTAAAACTTCATGATATACTACAGACAATGATAGGAAAGGTGATCTCAATGATATCTCACTTGGGAAAAAATACATTGGAGGTCCAAAACTGGTTCGAAATAGTTCTACTATTCAGTGTTTTAGAAGACAAAGCCTCCCCTGAAATGCTCTAACTGAAAATCAGAAAATGTTTATATTATTGCGAGGTTCTTTTTTTGATAGAAATTCTATTTTTCCTTTTATTTCTACACACATTGATATATTTTTCTTGATTTTATTCCTTGCAGTGGCTGGTTCCTAGTCTGCGTCTTCTGTCGGTGTGTATGGAATGCTTCCCGGGGCCGTGTGGTGCAATCAGTTACAAGCTGGAAGCAATGGTCACGCCTCATTTAGACTCCACGTATCCTGATATTCAAAAGGTATTCATCTCTCTGATCATGGATCTTAGATATTTTCAAAGGAGAACAAAAATGGTTGAATCGTTAATTCTGTAAATGCTTGAAAAATATGTGAATAGTGGTTATATTGAATAATTTTATAGCGCTTATAGCCACCATGCCTGGTGCTCAAGATGCATGAATTTAACCCTGGCTCTAGCCAGGCAAATTAGTTTGGTGCTCACAGCATTCAAGGTCTTCTTTCCTCCAGGTCCATGTATATATTTAACACCTGGATAGAGAGTGGCAAATGCTTATTGATGTTGGTTTAGTGTTAGAACTATAAAAGGATATTTGTCACTTTTTTTGTGGCTGTCTTTAAGTTTACTCAACATTCTGAGAAAGTGTCATAATACATTCAAATCACAATGTTCTTTAAGACCATCTCAAACTCCCTCAAAGCTACGTGTACATGTATTTCTTTCAGGGACAAAAACAGGAACATGCGGTGTGAAGGTGTTTTTTTAATGACAGGTTTTACATTCTTGATCTTGTGATAAAATATATTTTGTGAAATCAATTAAGAATAATACTTAAAGTTAAACCTGTCCTAGTGGCCACCTCTCTAGAAAGGCCACCTGTCTATAGCAGCCATGTGATTTTATCTCAGAGTCCCTAGAGTAGAGAAAGAAATGTGTGTTGTAAAACCTGTCCAGAAAGGCTACCTGCCTACAGTGGCCACTTTCTCTTTTTCCTTAGATGACCTCAATTAACTGGTTTGATTGTGGAATGACAATTTCTTTTAAAGTTTGTGCATGGAGGATGGTCCTTTTTCTTTCAGTCTAATTTGATTACACCACAATCAAGTTGTTATTACGATTGTCGGCTTTCTCCCTCGAAGAAGAAATGTGTAGGACTGTGCAATGGCCACTTTCTCTCTTTCCCTGAGGTGTTTTTAATAGACAAGTTTGACTGTATATCTAAATTTTGATTGTGTCTTGTAATCTTACTTCAGTTGTCACAGAGGTGCTACCCGTTGCTAGCTAGACTTGGAGGAGGTGGTTCTGGGGGTATCAAGTATACAGAGGCTTTCAAGCACTACACCATGACCATCTTGTACACACTCCAAACTCAGCTTGCTGTGCTTTATGCTGACTGTTCAACAGGTACATGGAACAGTGTGTGTGTGTGTGTGTGTGTGTGAGGGGGGGGGGGGCTTTTCTTTAATTTTTTTTTTGGTACTTTAGGTAAATTTGCATTTTGAAATGATGATATTATACACACCACAGCCTTGGTTATCGTTATTGTACCCATACTGGGACTGGGTATTAATGGTAAATTTTGGTTGATGTGATTACTTGTGAATTAGTGATGATAATGTATTTTTGATACACAGAATTGCTGAATTTTACAAAACCTGGAAAGCACAGTACACATTTAAAGATTTATGGGACTGCACCAATGTGTTGCTAAAATGAATTTTCCTGATCCACGATTTAACTATTTCTGATTGTACATTTATGAAAAAGCCAAACTAGGTTCTGAATATGCAATTTTGATTGATTGTTAGCAAAGTATTTGATCATTCACAAGTTTTTATACAAGATCTTCTTGGACATCATCAGTGGTCATTCTTTTTAACAAACACATTTATTCCTTTCAGAACCCGAGCCTACTCCCGAAGAGGGTATTGAACCCATATCTCTCAGCCTCGCTCCTACAGAGGAACCCATGAGAACCCTACACCTCACCAATCAGCTGAAATCTCTAAGCAACTGTCTTCAGATTATGCTAAGGTATCCCTAAAGCGTATTTTCCCCCTTTGTATGCCTTTGCTACAAAGTAGCCGGAGGCATTATGTTTTCTGGTTGTCCGTCCCGTTCTCGTGATCGCGTCATTTCAAGAACTGGTTGATGGATTACCGCCAAACTTGGGTCATGTCTGTATCTTGCAGAGCTAATGATCTAATTAGATTTTGGGTCATGAGGTTTAAAGGTCAAAGGTCACAGGGCTCATTATGTATGCAAAAATAGCTTGTGATCGTGTTATCTCAAGAATCAATGGATGAATTACTGCCAAACTTGGGTCATGAATGTATCTTGCAAAGCCAATGAAGTGATTAGATTTTGGGGTCACAAGGTCAAAGGTCACGGGGCTTATTATGTATGCAAAAATAGCTTGTGATTGCGTTATCTCAAGGATTGATTGATGGATTCCTGCCAAACTTCGGGGCATGTATGTATCTTGCACAGCCAATGAACTGATTGGATTTTGGGGTCACAAGGTTAAAGGTCAAAGGTCACAGCTCATTATGCATGCAAAAACAGCATGTGATCACACTATCATTAGAACCGGTGGAGGGATTACCATCAAACTCAAGACATGTTTATGTATCTTGCAGAGCCAATGAACTGATTAGATTTTAGGGTCTGGAGCTCTTTATGTATGCATATAAATAAATTGTGAACGCATTATAATTAGAATCGACAGATGGATTACTATCAAACTCAGGACAGGAATTTATCTTGCAGAGCCATGCATAAATATGAAAAATAACTGATTCTGAGAACCCATTAATGGATTACTACCAAACTTCAATATTGAAAATTGCTTCCGTTTTGGTTTATAAAATCGCTCTATAGCGGAGGCATCATTATCGACTGCGCGCAGTCAAAGTTCCATCTAGTTATGATTCTGATTTAGGGTTTGATGGGGACTCTGTAATGTAGAGCTGTCAAATGGAGTTCAAGTTTTGCAGATTTCAGAGATGCCAACCGTTACGGTTTCGCCGTATTTGTTACGGTTTTAATGCTTTTGTTACGGAGTAATGTAGAGCTGTCAAATGGAGTTCAAGTTTTGCAGATTTCAGAGATGCCAACCGTTACGGTTTCGCCGTATTTGTTACGGTTTTAATGCTCTTGTTACGGAGTTACGGTAAACAATCAAAAGGTTACGGGGAAACGATAAAACAAAAGTACATTATAGTGAATGCCGCCTTATCACATAGCCTCCGTACACAGCGCTGCATGTCGCACGCATTTACAAACTCATAAGTTCACTGAATTTGACTACATTGGATAGGCACTTTCGCGCACATGGTCCGTCCGCCGCCATCTTGTTTAATTCAGAAACAACACGGCTGCTACGTATGCTACGTGCGGTCGTGCCTTTTTGGGGGAGCATGGGGGTAGATGATCGTGAGCGCGGCGCCCGCAATACCCATTCATAGTATAGTAGCGAAGAATTCGGTGATTCAGCGGGCGCATTGCAAGTGCGGTATATGGTGTGTTGTTGTTCATGAACGCCGGGCGTAGCGGCCTGGGCTGGTGTGTCTGTGGTACTGGTGAGTGTACGTGTGCGTGTGTAGGATACGAGTTCTGCCATTTGACTGTGGATTCGAATTTGCCATTCGACGCTTGAACGAGCTGTTTTCTTCCTGAATATTATCGTGGATTCACTCAAAAGAGGGAGTACCCGAGGAGGAGATCCTTTGACTGGAAATAGATTTTTAAAAAACGTTTTTATGCACATCTTTATTTTGGACTTAAAAATGGTAGGTTCAAAATGCAGTAAGAGCGATTGGGTGTTTGTGTACGTTTTGCGCGAAAATTATGCTGCGGTGTCTTACGTTACGGGAAGACCCCCATTTGTTACGGAAAAATATGGTAAATGTTACTGACAGCCATCCTATAGGGTTGGCATCTCTGAGATTTTGCCAGAGACTTGTATGACACAGCAGGTAGTTGAAGTTTAAAAGCTTAACCCCCCCACCAAAAAAGAAAGAATTAAAGCCCACCGCCCCCTCCCCCTCCCTCCCCCCCCCCTCCCCCTCCCTCCCCCATTCAATTATATTATGAAAGACAACAAATGAGGGTCTCAGTATTGGTTTCATGCAAAATTACATCCATTGCTTTGACAGCTTAGGAGCTCACCATTATGTGTATGTTACTATTTTCTAGATTCAAAGGATGTTGTCTCATAGTGTAGATACAGTGTATTTTCCATCTATATTGTAGTCTCTGATATTGTTTTATTCTCATACCATTTTTTAAAATCAATTATCCCATGATTCCTGTCTTCCTTATATCTTCTTTATTCATCTGTGTGATGGCATCTCTTACTTTATTTTGTTTAGTTATTCTGTTCTTGTAAATTTCATTTACATCGATCTCCTCTCCTTTTTTCTCTCCTTTTGCAGAAATGAATTCCCAGCCAAAGCTTCCATCCCAGTGAAATCCACTTTAGAGTATATCTCCAGCGCACTAGAAGTTACAGGGAAGACACTCGTAAGTTTATTCTCTACATGCTCACTCATGTACTTAAAGTCAAATAGAAGTCAGCTCTCAATAACAGGTGTTGTCAATCACCAGGGTTAGCCTTGAGTTTTATGTCCGTTAGACCTTATGTAATGCTTTGCTTTTCCTTCGCCCGAAGAATCTCTGAGCATGCTCCGAGAGACTAGGGGGTAATACTTGACTGGCCAACGGGTTTGCTGTGTGCAGATTTGTACTCCCATAAATGGTATTTCCACCAAGTCTGGTGTCGGCGAATTACAGCCTTCTCTACATGGAAACTGACTACCCACTCCCTTTAACCCTAATAAGGCCGGGGGGGGGGGGGGGCCATTATGGCCCCCCCCTCCACAATTTTTCTGATTGTTCGATAACGCATATGGATGGCGCCTCGCCGCTCGCTGACTTTTTTCTTTAGAGTCTTGCGCATCTTTAAAAAAAAAAAAAAAAAAAATCGGACCTATAGTTACAAGGTCACGTGACCTTTTGTCTTTGCATGTCAGCCCGAAAATCGCTCATTTTTGTGATTTGTGTACAAAACATATGGAAATGTCATTTTTCCTAAAAATAGATCAAACATTGGTTATTGGGTCTTGTTTAAAGTTTAGGTGGTTGTTTTGGGAGTCAAAATAGTTGAATTGTAGAAAGATTAAAAAAAAACAAAAAAACAATAACATAAATAAGTTAAAAAAACAATGAAATACATAAGAAATTATCAAAACAAGAGATAACATAAGGAATAAGCTGGCTCTTCCAATTTTTTTTGTCGTATTATTGTTCCAAATGGTCTAATGAATATATGTATTGAAAAAGAATGCTTAAATATGAATAATATAGGATTTATGGGTAAAAATGTGATTTTATGACGTTATTTGCATAAATTACCATAAATATGCAAATGAGGGATTTTTTTCAAAAAATTGAAATTATCATATTGTTCTATACACTTCACTTGACATGCGTGCAAATTTTCGCGGAGATCGGCCGTTTCACGGCCGAGATCTTAGGGGGGGGCCATAATGGCCCCCCCCCGGCCGTAGTAAGACTTCAAATAGCCCGGCCTTATTAGGGTTAAACCCTGTCTGTCCCTTGAAGTGTAAATTTTACAGTTTGTTGTGTGCGTGGTAGAAAACAGTGTCTTACCATACACCCCTGTTCACAGGTAGCAAAGCTGACAGGGGCGATACAGAGAACCTTTATTTATTCATCGAACATGTGACATAATAAGCATTACAAGGTAAACTCTGATGCTACATGTGTGTGTAGTCCCGTGTACCTGCAGCTGTGTCATGTGGTTTCCATTGTTTGCGATTGTCTGCAAGATTTATTAAATTCGGAATGCTCTTACTGATTACACACCTGTTCTTTGTTACTACCTATTCAATCATTCAGATTAACATTTAGACTGTTTCTTTGGCAATGAAATTGCATAACCTGTATTCAAGATTATCTTTAGTACCTATATTCTTCATTTTCCATAGGGTGATCATGTGACGTCAGAATCCTCCATGCTAGCTATTGTCCTTCCCAGGATTCATCAGACTACTTTACAACTTCTTAAGGCCCTGATTGAAAGGTATGGCTGAAGATTTTTGTTTTCAGAGAAAGAACCGATTTCTAGTTTTTGTGGCGAAGAAATAAAAGACTAAATATATAAATGGCATGATAAACACTTGCTAGGAACCATAAAAAATGTTATTTTGTTACGTTTATTAAAAGAACCATTGGAGGTATGAAATATAACTGCTTGTATGCATCACTGTTGATAGATGAAGTATAAAGATTTAGTAATAATTACATCAAAGGTCAAAGATCGCATTATGAAATCCCTTGGAATTGTGTTATCAATGATCAGTGAAATATGTTACATGTAAAGTGATGATTAAAGACCCTGTCCGAAGTGAAAAATGAAATAGATGAATTATATATCAAAGGGAAAGCTGACAAGCCATAGATTACAACAATACCAATTATATCGTCGCTGTTTTCACGAAGTGACGGTAGTGAAAAAAAATTGCATTCACTTTGCGTTACGATTTTCCTCACTACCGTCACTTCGTGAAAATAGGGACGATATGCTACTTCAGTGCCTGTCAGACGAGTAACAGCTCTCTCAAAACTTGAAATCTAAAGCTGTGAAAATTGGGAGTTGTTGACCTAAAAACTAGCTATCGAATTGATGACATCACCGTTTGTGGAGTACGCATTTTCACAATGACTTTGCATTAATTAAGCACGGCTCATCGCCTCAGCTATATAGGCGAGCACATATGGTGTCGTCACTGTAACTGCGGCAAATTTGACCCCTGTTTACCTGTAATTTGGAGAGGTGGGGAAAAAAGTTTTGAATTCTGTGCAATACTTAAAGGGAAATATTTTGAATTCCTTTATATTTGTATTCTATGTTCTTTCAGCTTCCCATTGATGAAAAGTTATATTTTCATCGGATAGGGTCTTTAATAACATATTGAATAGAGTCAGGGGTATATTAAAGATACAGTAGAACACATCTTGTTTGATTTGATCAGTCTTTTCTTTATGGTCTCAGTTGCTGTATGAATCACTACAATCATCAAATCAACCAGATCTTCCTCAGAATGCTAGGAGGGACACATTCACAGGACCAGGTCAAACCATTCAGGTTAATTTTTTATTTTTTACATGAAGCAAGCCATTCAAATTATTTGCACTTTGAAATTTATCCTTTCTTTGAATTTAAATTTTATTGTAAGTCAGATTTTACATTTCATTTTAAGTCATCAAGATAAAGACTCAAAAGAATGGTAAAATCACAATTCTGAACATAATTTAATTTGTTTGTTGTCCCAGACAGCCTGTTACATGTCTGATAACCAATAGGAAATCATAAATGTTGCTCTCATAACGAGTGCACTTGTATAATTTTGCAATATTTGTGCTTTTGAGCACAAAACACAAGATCATAGTTAGTGAGCATAAACTAGTTTAGAATAAAGCATGTCATGCTTCAGAGACAAGGATTGCCGTGTTCTTACAGTTGATATTTTTCTATTTTTCTAGAAACCTGCGAGCTGAGATCTACCGGACCATCGTGATGTGGCTAAAGACAGCTGGGGTATCATCAGGATTTGCTACGCTTGTTGGAGAGAAGCTGATTCATCAATGCATACAAGACGCTACTCCCCCCACCAGTGCTACAAAGGTATAGACATGCAATAAGTTGTAATGTATTTAGAGAAAATCAAATATTTGGAGATTTTTTTTGTATGAAGAAAATAATGATTACTGCACATGCAGCCTCATTGTGTAAATAAATTGTATGGTTATGAATATGTGTTGAACTTTAATTAAGCACTCTTTTGAAGCTCAAACATTGGCCTGGGAAATTGATGAGAGATTGTGTTCTGATCCTTGAATATGAAACATTTGATGCCCAAAACCAGGCACCTTTCATTCTGGGTGTTGTGAAGGGTGCTTTGTCATTCCAAAATTGTCTGACAAAACAAACATAAAACAAAACAAAAAGAAACATGAAGGTCCTATTAAACATTTTTAGGGTGTCTTGTAACTTCAGAATTTGCTTACAGATTTACACATGTAGGTCCCAGCATTCTCTGATAAATAGGTGGGCTGTATAGTACCCAGAGATGCCAACTAGTACGGATTTCCCGTAATTTCTACGGGAAATCGGCCGATTACGGGCGGTACGATTTTCATACCATAAATTCCGGATTTTGCCGATTTTGCCGATTTTCAAAATTAGCACTTTAAGGTTTAGCACGTTTAAGGTTTAGCACGTACTTTTGACTATTGCAGCGCAGCCATCCTTGAATCCATGCATAGAAATCCCACAGGGCTTCCGATTGGACAATTTGTTATCTAGCACACCCCTTTCAGTGCATACATGTGCATACAACATGTGCTTCGCGAGCGGGGGCCGGGTGAAATACCTCTCTTGGCCGCGCCGCTACCGCCCGCCCAGCGCCAGACCTCGCTACGCTAGCGCCGTGTACACTGTCGGATTTCTCACAGGCTGTCACAGCGTTCGTCGATTTTCGTCGACAATCTGAACTCATGTTGGTTGGATTTAGATATCAATCATCATGTCTTCCACAACTAAGAAGCGTGGCAAGAAGTTACAGACTTTTAAAGAAGAATACAGTAAGAAATGGAAATGCATCGTGTAACACCAACTAATGAACAGGTAGACCTATGTTACTTTTATTTAACTTGTTGTGCTATCGCGCTTGCCTGCGGGAGCTGCGCTTGCCAGCGTGCAGAAAAATTTGCGTCGCGCAGAAAATTACGGATTTTGTCTCCAAATTACGGATTTTTAGCCTTATGATTACGGATTTGTGCTCTGAAAGGTTGGCATCCCTGTAGTACCCCAGCACCCCATGACTCCAATGCCATACCGTATTTTCCGGCGTAAAGGCCGCAGTATTTTCGGGTGAGAAAAAATCAAAAAGTCGGGGTGCGGCGTATACGCAACAACAACAAAATTCAGCGGTCAAAACATCACGTCCATTTGCACGTATGGGACTATAGGAACGATAGCATGACTAGACAACGGTACAGGACAATTCTAGAATAACTCCACACAACTTACCGACAAGTTTATGTTGCATAGTTGACATGAAGACGAAAAAACTTATTTTTCTAATAAAATCTGCCGATAGATCTAGATCTAAGTCCATACCATTGCATCGCCAAAAAGTAAACAAAGGGACAGGCCGTTACTTACGGAGCTAGCTGCTGCGCAACGCAACTGCGCAGGTCGAAAAATGCTATTTCGGATTACACCGCACATCGAGGAAGGGGTATTGTAGGATACCAAATCTGCGTACGATACAGTACTAGCTTAAAAGTCGATGAAGATCTGCTAAATTATGATCATTTTTTAGGTTAACTTCTTGTTGATTTATAAGAATATTGGTGAATTTGGTATAGGTTGTAGTTTTTTTTTTTCCTCTACGAAATGTCAAAGTTGGGGGTGCGGCCTATACGGCGGTACGGCCTTTACGCCGGCAAATACGGTACTCAAAACATCTACCCGGTAGATAGGATGCCTGGGGTGTGTTTCACAAAGATCCTAAGTAGAACTTAACTCTAAGTTGGACTTAAATATTATGGAGAGCCATTTGTAGCCTTATAATGAAATATATTCAAAAGCGAAAATTCAAGTATTTTAGACTTTTCATAAATTCCACATTAAGAACATGAAATCTCCCATGATAATAGAAAATATGAATGATTTTAAAAATAACTTTTACAAAATATTTACAAGGATGCTAACGGCTTTCCATAATTGTTAAGTCCAACTTAGAGATAAGTTGGACTTGTGATCTTTGTGAAACATCCCCCAGGTCAATATAACACATATGTTCTATAGACTCCATTCAAATTATCTCAGGCTTGGTATATAATATGTTCATCATTTAAAAAGAAAAACTGTCTACCCCCTTGTAAATTTTTCTACAGCTTGCAAGCGGTGTGCAGGCAAAAAGTGACAAGAAAGGTGGCAAGGTAAAGGTCAAGGGTCAAAGTGCACATATTACTGACCTATCATCCGGGGGCCAGCAGACTGACCAGTACTTTGACAGGGTGCTGTGTTTGACAGCATTGCAAGGTGAGATCTGGGACCTGTTTCACAAAGCCTTTTTTCAATGACAAATGACACAAATCAGTGACAAATCTGCTGATAGCCAATCAGAAGCAAGGATTTCAGTAGCTCATAAAAAAAAAAACTGTCATTTGTCACTGATGACAAGTTTTGTGAAAAGCCTCCCTGGAGCTTGGTGGCGTAAATATTATGTAAATATTGTGTGCTTTGGATTTCAATATAAGACAAGACTTCTGTACTTGTGAACAAGTATGAAGTGGCCTGTCTTAATATGACAACTTCTTTTATGGCAAGGATGACGATGAAGAACATGAACATGATGATGATTATGGTGATGACAATAATTGTATTGATGGCAAAGATGATGAATATGATGTCATTATACCAAGTTTAGTACTTTAATTGTACGAAGTTTCAACTTGACTGACTGTGACATTTTGGCAATGGGAAAATGATATCTGAACAACCTGATGATATGTTTTTTCTATATTTTTTGTTTAATGTTTCCTTTTTTCAGCATTGCGACAGTTGATGCTTACAAGTGGAGTCAAACTAAAAGCTAATCTACATCAGGTATGTCAAAGAAAGTTCAAAATGTGACCTGTGTAAAGGTGCATTCACATGATGATTTTGTTTGTACCAAATAAAGGGCAAGTGGAGCAATAATGGTCCTATGCATACTCATTCATCTTTGTTTGATACGATGCAAAAATGAGGAACACAGTATGCTTAAAAAAAACCCAAGTTGTAAACCATGACATATATGTACGACGTTTGTTGTTATAAATAGCAATTTGTACATGTCACCTAATTGGCAACATACTGTAAATGCTGTTATTTTCGCACAAGTAATTTTTTCGCGCTGAGCGACCCCCAAACGTATTCGCGGGTTCTTAAATTCGCGTCGCACCAAATTCAGCCCGTTCGGAACACGCATAAGAAGTCATGTTTATATTTTCGCGGGTTCTAAAATTTGCGGACACTAACTTAAGCTCGAAATCCGTAAAAAATGAATGTACTTCAAATATTTCTGTGTTTACTGTAGTTTACTGAAAGGACCAATCTCTATGTCTGTCTACTTGATGGTAGTACAGCAAAACCTGTATATAAAGACTACTCAATGGATATACACTAAGCAGTTTCTATAGGATTGTGGTCTTTCTGTGGAGGTTCTTTTAGTTCAAGTTTCAGTTAAAAACACTGAGGGAAACAGATAATTGGGTCTTTATTGACAGGTGGTCTTTCTATACAGGTCATTGTTAAGGCGTGTTTCACTGTACTGTGTTAATACCCAACCAACTTTTACAGGATGTCTACAAGTTTGTCATCCCCCTATTGACAAAGATCCAGAGCTGTGACACATCCAACATGCCGTCACCATACACCTGCTGCGACTGCAGGAGGGAGCTCTACGGGATACTCCTGGCAGGTGTGCTTGTACCCCACCCCCAGGCCCCTTCACCCCTCAACCTTGCTGTGGCAATCTTCAAAGAGGGGAAGAATGACAAGAGTATAGAAGTATGTGCAAAATTTATGTACTTTCCTTTTCATATTTGCAGATAGTCTCTATATATTGTGTTGAATGTGTTTTCCACTTCAGAACAGAATAAATAATCAAATATTATCATCATCATCATCTGGTACAAGATGAAGGCGTTGGCCTGTACTGAAAGTGAAAAAGAGAAGTTTATTTTGTCAAATGGGCGATTCCTTTTATGTTGATTGTGACCTGATGAAAGCATATCAATCATACATATAATTGGTGAAGATATTTTCACTCTTGCTTTATTACTGTCCAAATCTATCTTGCAGTTTGTGATAAAGAATGTAGGGTAGCTGTATGTTTTCTTATTTACGGAGCATGATACAGTTAATTGATGTACTTAATTTGAAATCTCTTATTGGACGCTTTCTGTAAGCTCTTCCCATTTTGTATTTAATGCTAAATTTTGGTTCAAACAACATGGCAATGGCTATATGTATGTAATGTATTCCATGAGTGAATTTGTGATGAAAGTATTGTGTATAGTATAGTGTTTACATCTTTAATAAACTTGTTTTATAGGTATCCAGTGCATGTTGTGAAGCTGCTGTTATTTGCGACGTCATCATTCACCCTCGCAGACCTCCGATACCATGTGCCAAACCTCAGGTCCCGCTCACTTCCATGTCGCTCCAAGCCCCTCTCACTTCTGCACTAAGCCTTTCCCAGACACCGGAAGGACAAGTTGTTCTTGTCATGGAAACTGAAGATTCTGGCAATGCAACACTTTCAAGTGCAAAGAAAGATTCAGTACTCACCCAGTGTGAGGTACATATAGTTACTCTGTCACCAAATGCAAATGTACAGGCAGCCTCTGATGAGCTGAGTCATGGGTCGTCACAGGACCAGGACACATCCCATACTGTACATGATAGTGGGAGCACTGATGAGGCTGGTGTGTTCAAATCAAGTGCTGCAAGAAAAGATGACGATGAGGAGGAGGAAGAGGAGGAAGAGGAAGAGAAGGATGATGGGAAGGAGAGCGATGAGGGTAACGAGATGGAGGGAATGAAAGCCGAGACGATGGAGGAGAGTCCAGGATCATCAAGTAGAAAAAGGAAACATAACACACGTGCGAACCAACAGGTAGTTATACTTAAATCTTGCTTGAAATTTAAAAAAATCGACAGAGTCTGAATTATGATTACATCCATACAAAATACAAAGAAAACATTTCAGTCAGAGTTAGGAGAAGTTATGGATTGCTAATTTGTATAATATTGAATTAATGGTTATTTTGTTAAATCAGGGGACAATTATTGACATATTTTAAGAAATGTAATCATTTTTTTAACCATAGAGAGGATTGCAAATGGATACAGGACAAAAAGACTATCTATATCTGACCAATCATCTCAAATGATTACATAAAATAATGCATCGATACTGGACAGGAAGGACTATTTTTTACTCTATTTTTTTGTGTGTCTCTCCCCATCTCTTTTTTGTGTGTCTCTGTCTCTCTCTGTTTGTCTCTCTATCTCTCTCTCTCTCTTTCTTTCCTTCTTTCCAATAGGCAAAGAAACCAGCTACAGAAGAAGTGAAGTCCATGCTGTCGGAATTCATTGATGCTCCTCCAGATTCAGAGTGATGATTTAGGGGGAGGGGTGAGGGGGGAGGGGGAAGATATTATAAAGTCTGAACTGATGGATGGATTTTAATTATTTTTTTTTAAAGATCAGTAAATTTATTTCTGATTCCCTTTCCTTTTATCCATACCACAGACTACCATAGGCAAAACCATGTGGGTTAACACACTTATTTGATACTCATTAGTTCTCCCTGACAATTTCACTACTACTGTAGTTAACCTTAGGTAATATAGTGTATGCCAAGTTGAACAATTTGGTAATGTGTTTTTCTTAGAGTATACATACCACAATAATAATTCATTTTAATTTGAAATTTAAACACCAGTCCTCCAGTGACCTTGCAAAAAATGTCTGTTCATTGGAACTATGTTCTTATCTGTTCTGTTTTCTTTATACCGATTACCTTGGAGGATCCACAATTATATGCTCATTCTTTAAAACCATTATCAATGTTATAATTCCTCAAGTTTGTTAGCTCATATTAAATGTCATCAGCAAATTTTGATAATTGGAAATCCGTATGTCTGTTGCTTCAATTGATTTCAGTGATATATCTTCAGGGCTAAAATGTTATACCGGTAAGCAACAGAAGCAAAAGATACGTACCAATCCTCTGTCAAGTCACATAATAAAGTATGTGAGGTGGAATGAATGAGAATTGTGAACTGTCTTGTCTGTTGGTCAAGTTTTCTGGTTTTACAGTAATTGTTATAAGATATAGTAATGTTAAGGACTTAAAGACAAAGTTGAGTTCTGGTCATGCAATTGCATAGTGAAAGAAAAAGTGTGGAATGGATCAGAAAAGGTTGATTATCTAGCAACTAAGTATTGGTGTATACTGCAAGGTTCTGGAAACATCAAAGTGATAAGAAATTTGGCCTAGTCTTGGTAAAGTTACAAGCACAGTACACAGAAAGATGTATATGGGGCTACACGAACATGTGGCATAAAAATCTGCCCCAATTTTTATGTTGTTACATGCCAAATTTGGAAAATGAAAGCATTTGATGAGCCATGCTTTTCAGGGAATATTTTTTATCTGATGTTCTTTCACACTTTCATAATAACAATGATAACGGTCACATATTATTTTTCACCTCTTCCAGGAACTCAACTTTATTTTTCTTTAAGTACATATATACTTAACAATGAACTCCAGTTACAAACAACAAACTTATCAGAATTATGATTTTCTAATAATTGGTTTATTTATTCATTTCCATGAAGAATTCCATTTGAACCAATAATAAAAACTGATAATTTCATACAAAAATATTTCAAAAATAGATACAATAAAACTATCATCGGGGAAGATATTAGAAAGCATTTGGCAAGTGATATATTGTTTGTATAATGTATTCAACCACAACAAAAAAATGAGAAAACTTATTACATTGGGGAGCAATTCCATGGTAACGAAGAAATACAAAGACACTTCTTTTCAACATTGGGACTTGTTAATCACATGAATTATCACTTAACATGAAGGCTTGTACAGTTATATCTGCTTTAGAGACCACCTGTATAGAGGTGGTCCTATAGGAACTCGGGTGTTATATGCTCTGGCTCCTAATGGTTAGGGGCCAGAGCATATGATATAACACTGAGTTCCTATAGGAAATATATTTATTCAGATGGTCATATCTCGGCCAATAATTAACATATTAAATTGGTTTTTTCGACATTTGGACATTATTTTTGATGCTCTTTCGGAAAATGAAGAAAAAATTGAGAAATTCTAAAAATAGATTTTTTTTTTTAATGACGGCACAGCTTCGGTACTCTATAGAAAAATACCATCTTCATAGACCATTTTTTTTGTTTCCCTTGAAAGTAGTTTATCATTGAAACATGTACTAAAGGAACCTGTACATAAAGACCACCTGCCTATTCATTGTATTTTATTTCAGTAGCCCCTCCTGATGGAACCGTCTTCATGGAAGATTATATTCTCATAACTTCTGGGTTTTAAAATTTGATTAGAGTTCCCAGCATTTCATTTTCATGAACTCCAAATTCCCTGATTTTCAGTGGAGATTAAACATTTCAGGATCATTATCAATTAGAGGTTATGTCCCGCATCACAGCCACTTTGTGCTGGAACAAATAGGACTTTACTGATTTGGTCAATTTGACATTTCCTTATGTAATTGATCACAAGGCAAGCTTTACTACTTCAGCTAGAAGGGATTAGACCACCCAGCGAGCCAGCAAGGTCACTGTGACAGGTGGCCATCTCATTAACTCGGCTCTCATTTAGCATAAGAAAAAGAGGATCATGGGGGACCAACAGGCACCGATTGAGGAAGTTTTCTATATAGAGGGACCAAGTAGCTCCAAGTAGGACAGTCTGCCTTTAATTGTTTGTCCAATTCACTTAAACTTTCACCAATCTGCTTCTCTAATTTTCCTGCCTTATTTCAGAGCAATTTGCTATTAAGGATGGATTTTCCTTAAACAATGATTATTCAATATAGCATGGCAGTTGGAATCTGATCAAACCTTCATGTTTAGTGATAAGTGACTGAAAACAAGTATTAACATTTTGTAAAAAGCATTTTGTCATTTTTGTGTCATTCAGTACAATGGAATTGCCCCTTTAAAATACTGGTCAAACAAAAAGATACATTGACTATCTTGTAAAAAAAGGAAAATTATTAAAAAACTTGCAAAGCGTATGCAAAAAAGTTCAACTCACCAAAGGTTATTGTACAAGTTTAAAAAACAAGGTTAAATGTAAAACATATTAAAAAAGTTACCAACTCATGTAACAATATACAATATATTCATACATTTTGCCACATAAAAAAGTTTTGGCAGTATGTATTCAAAACCATTGCAGATAGCAAGAAGTGATTCACAAGTATATAGATACAAAGAAATACACATTTCATCTGAATGACAAATCTATCTGCATTTGATTTGTAAAATTTAATAATAACAATAACAATAATAATAATAATATTAAAAAACATTACTTATAAAGCGCTTACCCCCAAAGTCTCTAAGCGCTATAAGTTATGGAATGCTTTTTAATGAGATCATATTATGATCAACTTGAAAAAGGATTTTATTCTAATATTTATTGTTCAGTTAAATTGGCAAATATATATCTTTTAAACATCCCAGAAAAATGTAATACTTTTCAAACAGTTGACCATTTGAATTATGTTACATGTATTCAGCTAAACACAGATGCAACAAAAAAGCATCTTCCCTCTAAATTGAAGATAATTGACAGTATATTTGTGAGTCTAAATTTCAAAGTACATTTACAAGGATTGTGCATTTATAAAAATAAAGTCTATACATATCATTTCAGAGTAATTCATTTCCTGTCCAAAGGTGCACAATTTCCAGACATTTGTGTACATTCATGTACATATGTATATTTGAATCTACCAGTATTTGGATCCTACTTTTACATAACAAGATATAATTTGGGTGACTGTCTAATATTTACCTGGTAATTGCATTACATAAATTTACAAGGCAATAAATGCAATGAAAACTAGATACAATACATGCAAATAAGCTGGAAAAAAATGAACTTGAGCAACAGTATACCTTAAACAAGTTTAATACATGTGTAGGTGAATGTTTAATCCATTTCATTTCAAACGCGAATTGCAGACAGAAAAGCAACATCGGTAATGACATTCTAAAAGTCTATAAGCATCCAAAGCCCATTCAACACCAGCTGTAAAATCACCCATAAAAATGCATATTTATTACCTTTACAACTGAATACTGTACGCAGGGATGATAGTGAGAGTTTAACAGAAAAGTTTTAGAAATCCAAGTCATGAAAAAGTGGCACCCTCCCCCCCCCCCCCCCCCCCCCCCCCCCCCTAATTTTAAACCCGGATGTACATCAATCTTAGGGGACATCTATTTTTTTAAGAAAATATTCACGATAACAAATATTTAAAAAATCAACTATAAAAAATCAGAAATAAATAATCGGAAACCAATTTCTTTTACATCAGGGAAATCATCAGGCTCGCGTAGATGATAACATGCTCCGATGACATTTGCTCCTCCATCAATTTTCTACATTCACCCAACTCATCCCTGGACCCAAAACTAGAGCTAACTCCAACCTTAAAGGTCATGTATAGTTTTGGTAAGCCCTCAAAAACTTTTCATAAGATTTCTAGGATTAAAGGTGATAATAGGAAGATACTGGCAATGCTACGCTGATGATAATCTTTATTTCCTCTTGAAGTGAAATATCAAACAAATAATTAGATAGCCATCCTGGGATGTAAATTCTAACAATGGCAACCTGCACTACACATATGTAAAACCTATGAGAACTGTGTGTATACGCTACAGTCTACGCAATCACAAGGCGAAGTGCTGAGATTGTAAATATGAGGGGAGTCGACGGGGTAGACAGAGCTGCCAACCTTGTGCGACCAAAAGAGGAATCATGATGGCAAAAAAAAAGGAATTCATAAAAACGAAACTGACAACCATGCGCGACACACTTCCAATGCAGAAATGTTCATTCATCATGCTGTTTTTTTCCATACGAGCAGGTAATTTTTTTGTTGGCTATTTTGGTACTATCGGCATTTCATTTTTTTTGAGAATATTTTTCTCTTCAAGTATGTTTTAAAATTAGTTTTCTATTGAATTTGTAATCGAATCACCATTGCGGGGCAGTTGTTTGACGTGTGGTATGTTAAAAAAAATAAAAAAAAAAAAAAAAAATTTTAATTAAAAAACGTATTTTATGAAGAAAAAACGTAATACCGTAATTTGGAGGAAAAAACGGAGTAATTCCGGCAAAAACGGAATGGTTGGAAGCTCTGGGTAGAAGGTTCCTAGCGCAGGGGATCAGTGTATAGCCGCTATCCAGCATTCCTTGCATATAATTATACTAGCAGCCATCAGAAAAAACATGGATCAAATGTCAAATGATCTCAGAAATATGTCTTCTGAGAACACGAGACTTTCTTTCCAATTTCCTTCTTGCTACGAAAACGTTACATACATGTAAGCGATTGCAACCTATACCCTAACCTAGCATAACCCTATTCATGTCTAAAGGAAGAAAGCTGAAATGTCGTCACAGCATATGTTGCTGGAACAAAAGTCACAGTAAATGAAGGGTCACCATATCTTGATTCCCATTAATGTAATGCATAACATCTGCAAAGAGCTACATGTATAGGTATGCATACATTGTAGGTGACAGTATAAAAAGCAAACAAATAATGATCTCCAGCTTATTATATTTTTATTTAAGATGACATTAAAAAAGATTCTATGTAACTCCAGTATCCTGCAAGGCATAAAATTCAATCATGACGAGATTAAAGCTTTAGATATATGGCTGGCAACAGACAAAACTTATCGTTTATTAATGATCTCTTTATAAAGTCATAGCATACCTGTAGGCAGAGACATTTTCTTCTACGTGGAAGGCTATGTGTTTAGTAATGCCCTTTTGTCTCTCATTTCCTGGCCCCTTCTCTGTTATTATCCCTATCATGCATACAGAAAGGAAAAATTGGTTGTGTGAAATTATTCCACCCAACCCATGTATTTGTGATTTTCTAAGCGTAGAGCCTTATCATATGGTTGTGTAAAATCCAAGGGCTTTGGAAGTTCGAATCACTACAGTATACCGGTAGCCCATTTTACAGCTGTATAGTGATCTTGACATATTAAAGCTACATGAATGCTGTACAATGCGAGATGTGAAATAGCATAAAATGCGGAGAGCCTACAAAAAAGTAAAAGGCTACAAACTGGCATGCCTCTTGTAATATGACCACTTCCCCATCACAAGCCCTCACCATATACCTACCAAGATGGAATATGAAATGGTTTTGAAATCACTCCATGTAGCTAAAGAGCGTTCTCTGTTTTCGCCTAAGCTCATAGGCATCCTCGGTACCTTTGGATCTATCAACGTTTTCCCTCTGCCTCACCTCCTTATTGAACTCTCTCTGGAGTCTCTCGGCCAGGAGATGATCCTCATCCTCCTGTGTAAGTCTCTTCTGCTCCTGGTCAAGGAGCTCCATGTAGCGCAGGATCGTGTCCCCAGACTTCCTGGGAGACTTCCGGGATGAGCCAGTCCCCTTGGCTGGTTTGACCTTCCCACGATTCTTCCCCCTCCTCTCGCCGTTGCTTTTGTTTTTCAGATGTCCTGAATCATTGTCCAGCACGTCAACGCTTGCCATGCTCACATCCGAATCCTGACTCGCCATCTTAACGGCTGAACTATCGCCATCATCTGAGAATGTTAAGCTATCGTCACAGATAGTCAATTGAGTGCTACTGTTTAGGTCAACAGCACCAGGGATAAGTTTTGAGATCGTATTGGAGTCCCTACAAGTTTGGGATGTTTCACACATGGATGAATCACTGACATTAACATTACCCGTACCCTTTTCTGTTCCTTGCATAGATTCTTTTTCACACTCGTTGCTCTTCAGCCAATCCTCATACGCCACTTCAACCTTTGTTGAACTGCTCCTGAACTTGTCTCCTGAATCACATCTTTGGTTACTCACGGCAGGGTCTCTGCCATTGGCACTCTTGGTTTTGCTCTGTTGAATACCAGCTAATTTTGTCTGCTGCATTGAAGCATTCTCCAATTTACTACTGTCTGGATCTTCTTCTGATTTCCCATTTGCTAAACTATTCTCTAAACTTGAGTCCAAGCATTCTGCTGCTTTAGGCAAAGATGGAAGAAGTGGTTCAGAACAATTTTTGACACCATCACCATTAGCTGCTTTTAACTTTGAACGTCTTGCATTGAACAAGTCTTTGATGCTGTTAGTAACTCTTGTCTGCAGCTTGGTATGTTCCCTCATTGCATATTCCTTGATGGGAGTGTGCACTTTCTTCTTATAAGGTTTCAAGCACCCATCGACTTCATCCTGACTTTTCCCTGAAATTCTACCTACTCTCGCATTTACCTCACCATTGCTGCCACTTTTCCCACTGGACGACTTGTCACTGTTATTGTCACATTTCTTGATAGCTGATGGCTTCAGCTTTGCATCTAATGTCCTGCTATTGTTACAGTTATGATTATAATCAGTAGCGTCGCCGCTATCATCAACGTCCGACACCAAGGTTGTGTCCGTTTTCCTTGAGTCCTCTACCCTCATCTGGAGCAATGTGTGGCTTTTGTCCCTTGGGGCGTGTTCTGGTGAGAGTTCTTTGGCCATCCTCAAGGGGGCATCCCCTGCTCCTGACATCTCCACTTTTGCTTTCTTCTGCGGGGGTTCCCCCTGTCTGCTGCTTCCATGATCTCCTTGCCTCACATGCTTGTTTGTGTGCTGCCTGGAGAGCTGTTTCTTGAGTCTGGCCAGGCTGGTCATAGTGGCCTTGGAAGATTCGCTCACCTGGTTGGTCCGTTCTGTTTCCAGGTCCTTCCAGCGGGCCTTTAGCAAGGACGACATCTTGATGGAGGAATCCTCGGTAGCGTCTCCTCCGTCCTCCATCTTCTGGAGATTCCTTGGGGTCGTGAAGACTATGGGTGGCGACTCTGCTCTGCCATCTGGAAGTTTCCTGGGTAAAAACCAGGGAAGTGCTAAGGCATTATACATCTTTTCTATATACAAGAAGCACATTAAGTAGACAGGCAGTTGCTTTTGTGGACACATAATTATGTCATATAAGAGCAGTAGAACAATGAGAATAAAAATTCCATCAAGAAATTATTCATCCCTTCTGTATCATCAAGATATAGTACATTTTTATAAATAAACTTTCAAGATTGAAATTTTGACTTATAATGCTTTATTTCATGTATAACTTAGGCATAACATGCTATCTGTTTCAGACTTCAAACATATGGTTCAACGCTCAGACTTTGAGGCAGGATTCGATAATTCGCTTCTGATAACAGGGAAATAGAATTTCACTTGATTATAAAAAAGGTGAAAACTGTTTGAGGTTTGTTAACAGGCAAAAAACAAAAAAACAAAATTGAAGAGGGAATCAATGTTATGCATATTGTTTGAAAACTTAAATAATATTTACATATTCCTAAATTGAATTAAAATTGCCGTTTCATGCTTACTTGCGAGCTGTTCTGGGTGACACATGGATAGGTTTGAAATGGTTCATCTCTTCCGAGATGCTATCATTACTGTCCGTACTGTGAGCCCTAAGATGGATGTCATCGAGCTCCCGCAACCGCTGCGGCCTCAAGACGACAGGGGAGAAGGCACCATGGCGCTTGATGGACTTTCCGTGGCCAGGAGAGGGTGAGCTTCTGTCTCTACTGGGACCTGTATTGTGGACATTAATTGGTACATCTTGATTATTTATTTCCTCTCTACCGCGGAAGCAGCCGTTGCACTTTTAATTTTTAATTTCATACAGAGTTTGGATAGCTTTCAGCACAACTACCATCCCAAAGCCCCCTTTGAGAAATCCTGAAACCTGATAAATGAGAAAAGAGGGCCCCTACACAAACTATATCTGTCATTTTGTTTCAATGCATTATACTAACATGTACCTAAACATATTTACATATTCTTGTTTTAATCCCTCATCACTTGCAAACCTTTGCATTATATGATCAGGAAACTTGTGAGGATTGAAGTTAACAATTGAAAACATTCATGTAGTTAAGCCTGATTTATTAAATATCAAATGATTGAAACCTCTCACAACTCTAGGGTACTATGTCTGGCCTAAAAGGAGCCTAAAGCGAGACTGCACTACTTATAGCTACTTGTGCCCTCTATAAAGCCAACAATACCCAAGTGGTACCGGTTGATCCCCCATGGTCCCCTTTTTCTTATGTTAATTGAGAGCAGATTTGATGAAATAACCACTTGCCAGTGACCTCACAGGGAGTTCTAATCCCTCCTGGCCAAACTGGTGCAGATAGGCTTTAATACTGTCCATTCTTTGTTTTATTATTTTCATCCGGGGGGGGGGGGGGGGGGGGGGGGGCTTGATTTATTTCTGGATGATCACATAACCACATTATCACAACAGCTAGGCAGGTCAAAGGTCGATTCAAAGTTACTAATCATGGCTAGATAAGATGAAGCTCTAACCTGGGGAACATGCTGAAGTTGAGGGCTGATCCTGGATGGCTGCTCCCTCCCATGAGACCTGCGTCTCAGGGGATTTACTCTTACGTCCGACTGGCGACATGAACTTCTCGATGCTAAGACATTTGATGGTCGATGAGGAAGCGCTGTTCTTTCGTGAAGAGCCTCCAGATGAGGGCAGGACAACGATATCAGGAGATTTGGGGACAGGGGTCTGTGATAGCAAAATAGTGATAATGATGGCATAAGTTATAATGAAGAAGAGGAGGAAGATGAGGAGGGAGAAAAAGATGAGGAAGAAAATTAAAAAGAAGATGGGAAGGAAAGTAACACTAATAATGATAACAAAAATAATGAAATTGGTGCTACAGAATGATAGTAATATGATATCTTTACCGGTAAATAATAGGAGTATACATTGATAAGTGGTCTATATGCAAAAGTTATGACTGTTTAGGCTTTATAGGTTGATTCATGCTTATTAAGTGAACTCTTAAAGGGACCACACCAAAATCTTTGCTTTTATCATTTCAGTTTAATAATTTGGCAAGTTGCATGAGCCACACTCCAAGAGCTACAGCCTACAATCTACATAGATACTCACATTAGACAAAGATTGTTCAGACATCTGAATTCTTCTGGCAAGTTCTTCGTCTTTCAAGACTTGTTCTCTCATCACATGGACCTTTTCCCCACGATGGATCTATAGAAGAAGAAAGAAGAGAATTTAAAGGTATAGACCAGTTTTGGAAACGCCCTCCCCCCCCCCCTCAAAAAATGAAATGGAAGCTCTTATTACCAATCATGTGAAAGAATATGTTTTGACTAATACGTGATGATACAAATTTTGCCGGGAAACCGTCTACTAATTGATATATTTGGTAAATTATCATATCCATCCGGCCTGGATAGATATCGCGAATACACTTCAACATTTAACATTTGGGCATATATTTCTGCTCTTTTGCGAATTTAGGTCGAAATATTGCCATCTAAACCTCTGAAGGCAATATATATGAACAAAATTGAACGGATATTTTGTACCCAAAACCCTTGAACCGCAATTTTACCACTACCGGCCTTTATTCTTTAAGACAATTGCAGAGAAGTACTACCGGTAATACCCGCAACTAACAGTGCATACTTTCTTCCTTTATTGCGAGGCAGATTGAGAAAAAAAGATTGAAAAAAAAGTAGAAGATATACTATCAAAACCTATCCCCTTCCTTCATAAAATAAAATATATATGAGACATCTAAAATGGTAGGGGTGAAAAAGTAAAAGGAGAATTACTTCATATCTAGGCCCAGAAGGGTGAAACCTTATGATTTGACTTCCATGCACAAATCACCTTAGTATTTACATGTGTGCAAATATATATTGTAATAAGAAGTAAACTTGCACTTAATCCAGGAGTAGAATTTGAAGTTGATTCACATACACTGTACTTTATTATTTTTATGTCTGTAGGTCAACAAAATATAAAAGTAGAAGCTGATACACTGTATGCTGTATTTTAAACATACATTACCAGGTAAGTGTTCCAGCAAACGTATATACCGTATTTGCCGGCGATAAGGCCGCACCGCCGTATAGGCCGCATCCCCGATTTTGACATTAAAAAAAAAAAAAAAAAAAAAAAACTTTTGTCGAAGACGGGATTTGATCGCTTGCGTACAAATGTTACTAAAATCACCGCCTTAGACCGCTCAGCCATCCCGCACTGATACTTTCATCTGCAGTTTTCTCTGATATATAGACTCTTGTGTATTGCGCCATAACTCTTGTTTACATTGAAATGGATTCTAAATGGCGACTTTGCGTGCTGGATGCTTCGTGGCAGCTCCGTTAAACGGGCCCTTCTTTTACTTTTGCAATGCACTGGCACGAACTTAGATCAAGATCTATCGGCAGATGTTGTTTTAGGAAGTTTATTTTCGTCTTCATGTCCACAATGCAAGATAAAATTGTCGGTAAGAAGTGTGGAAATGTCCTGTACCATTTATTGTACCATACGTAGTCCCATATGACTTACTCTTTTTTTTTTTTTTACTCTTTCGCCTTAAAGGCCGCACCCCGACTTTTTGTTACTTTCTCTTCCAAAAATACTGCGGCCTTTACGCCGGCAAATACGGTACTGGTAGAGTAAATCTTTTTGCAGGTGATGAATCCCCTTGGCCCTTGAAATACTTACTACTGCATCTGGTTCCTCCTTGGCGAGACGTCTTGCCAGTTCAGCATCCTGTTTCTCCTGACTCAGCATCTCCTCCTGCCTCTCTTCAAACCTCTTCACCTCCTCTTTTTGAAGCTCCCTGATGTACTCTTCGCTACGCTTCACTGCATCTTCCAGCTCACGCCTATATTCCTCATTCATCTGGGAGATGGATTGATAGATATATCAATTGACCAATAGCAGTTCAGAGCTTCCTAAAGATCTAAATGAATCAGCTTTTCCTCCTTAAATTAGCAACAACCATTTGTATTTTCAATATAAATGTCTCTTTGCGTGGGCATATTTGTTTAAGGTCCAAGGTTGGAGATCGAATTAGGTTAATGTTTGGAATCACATGTGAGTTAATCCCTTTTGCCCTCAATAGAAAAATTGCAAAACTGACTACATTGTAAGTACCTCTACATGTACATGTATAGAAAAATAATGCCTGCTAGGCCTTGGATGCATATTACATATTTCTGATGTGTCAAAAAACGTTTTGATCAAGTGATCGAGACTGATGCTCAGTTATGATTTATTCCTGAAAATTACCCATCTCTAACAAATACATGTATTTTATGAAACTCTAAGAAACTGCACATTTTCTACTCAGAAATATTTATAAAACTGAACCTGCCAGCATTTATGATTTTAAAAAGGAAATGCTCTTACCTTTTCACTTTCCTTCTTGAATTCTTCTCCGATCTCACCGGGTTCAGCAACATGTATGACAGGGGGAGGAGGCTGTGTCATAAGATCTGTGATTAAACATAATATTTGATTTAAAAAAAAAATCAAATTGTAAACTTTTAAGTTATAACAAGCCTGATTATATTTATTTTGATATTGACAATCTAATAGGTTTGATAAGGTTCTTTTATTAACATGTCTAAACCCGCACTGTACAAAAACATGTAGACCTAGATTTCACCTTTAAAAAAAAAATAATAATAATAATAATAATAATTTTTAGATCAATAATATCACAAAAATTGTGCCTTTAAAAAATATTTTCTTGATTCTTCTTGAAGAATCTTATTAAGTTAATAGGAGAGTACTTTTCTTGAAATACTGTCTGTGGTAATCTGTTTTGACTTGCCACGGTTGTTATTTTACAGACAATAAAAGTACTAAAGAATGTAAATATTTGACCCTCTAAGCTCTATGCAAAATCTTATGTTAGAACTAGGGCAATTCAAAAATCAGATTCATGATCAAAAAGTAACATTTAAGATGCACAAGGTTCTTTTGTTTTATTCTCTGATTTTCTCAATTTTTTTCTTTCATGATTTCTCTACTCTTGACTCAACAACACAACACAACACTTACAAGTTGATAAGCTTACAAAACTAAAGGAACAATAGAAACAACATCAACAACTAGATGATATTCCCTGCCAAATGTTTGCCTCTCAGAGGTCAGGAGTGTGGAGCCTATTGGTTTTAAGGGTGGACCATAAAATTAGATGGTTAGAATGACAAAAGGGATAATCTTTCATGAGGAATCTGCTTTTCATATTATCATTTTGAGCTGAGTTAATCCCTTTGCAGCAAATGTCAGTGAATAAAATTGGTATCCCAAGTGAGAGGCTATCAAAATTCTTGACAAAAGTATCTGAAATTAGAGAGACGGTCTCCCATATTGGCTGTGTGCATTCAGCCTGAGACTGTGCGACTCTAGAAGGTCTAGTCTTTATTTATATTAAATATTGACTTGACTCACCGTGCCTTCATCACAGCACTAATCATCAAGATCATGGTGACTCCTAGACCAAATTTTCTGTCTCTTTTGTTCGTTAGCCTCTGATTTGGGTAGGGTCGGCTCCTCTCTTGCCTCTGATTTGGGCAGGGTCAGCTCCTCTCTTTAAAGAGAGGAGCTGTCCCTACCCAAATCAGAGGCTAACGAATGAAAGAGACAGAAAATTTGGTCTAGGTAACTCCCTACTAATCTGCTAATGCCTATCAAATGGCAATGCATTTGCATGTGCACCCCTGGCCTGTCACGACTATCAAACATCATCATCATTACATCAACATCATCATCATCATCACATCAACATTATCGATCCTGCATCATTCATCATTGCATTGTCAATGCAATGTGACATCTTCTTCTTCTCCTTCTTCAACTTCAAGATAATCTGCCTCCTTCAATACGAAAGAAAGGAGCCAACCCTACCCAAATCAGAGGCTAACGAACGAAAGAGACAGAAAATTCGGGCTAGATTTGGGTGTGCGGGTGGATCACTACACCAGGGTTTCCCCTAGACCGAAAGCTTCAGTCTCTATATCGTCGGTTGTTCCACTGAGACTACGTCTGGCTCCACTAGACCTCCGGATATAGAGACTGAACGATCGCCTATGCCATCGTACGTTGAAGATACACTCTACGGGTATACGATAAGATGATACTGCCCTGACGCTAAAATAAATCCTTTTTTTGTAAGAATCGCGTGCACTAACATATACAATTGGCATTTAGAATTAAACCACACATGATAAACATTAACAAAATATGTACCTTGGACCTCTGCATATGAAATCTTCTTCAAAAAAGTGTTATTATCTCTTCCACTTGACTGTCTTCAGACGTCAGCCATCTTGAATCAAAGTAATGAATATTCATGACAAAGTTTTTTAGTCTCCACCCCATTGACTTCATTCATAGACGTGTTGTCTGCTTCACGTGCGCGCGCTATCCTCGACGTGACGCGCGGAGGAGCTAGCTGAGGCGAGGTCAACCATCCTCATTATCGTATTTGAATATTCATTAGCCACCATTTTGATTTCTGTCGGTCAGAATGCTTGACGTGGGTCATCGAGAAGCAGCCAAAAGCTTGGTAAGTCCTTTTATTTTAGGGACTGACAATTGCCTAGAAAATTACTGCAATTGAAGATAAATAATGTATTTCTACTCAAGTTTGTCATGTTTTCGGGAGGGGCCTAACGGCTAAAATCTAGCCGTGATATCTTCAACATACGATGGCATAGGCGATCGTTCAGTCTCTATATCCGGAGGTCTAGTGGAGCCAGACGTAGTCTCAGTGGAACAACTGACGATATAGAGACTGAAGCTTTCGGTCTAGGTTTCCCCCTACTCTTATACGAATAGTGCAGTGGGTTCTTAACGTGCAAGGGTGGGGACTCTCCTCCTGTGCACAGCACAGCTCAGGGGCAGGGCCTCCATTCAATTTGAATGTCCTGTCCTGTGCTGTTCTCACTTATCATACATAGCCTGCGTCTATGAAACAAGGGGAGTGGCACGTTAACAGACAACACAGGCTTCAGTCATCCACCTGGGTGGGATTCGAACCCAAGAAACTCCTTAACATGACATTGAATCATTAATCATTCACATTGATGATTGATCATTCAATAATTCATCATCAACTGCAACTGACAACTGTTCAACATGATCAATTCAGATTCATATTTGTAAACGTTACGAACATCATCATGTCATATGACACTGAACTCAGAACTCTCTTTATCAATATCATGTTCATCTTCACAATCTTAACAAATTATTGTCATGACTGACTGGCCACTCACCTAACACATCGTCGTCGTCGCCTTCTTCGCCCGTACCCGGCTCCATACGTTTCTGGCATAGCACGGGGAACGCTTCCCGGATACTTCTCCATCGCTCCTCGTTGATCAATCGCCCCGAATGTTTACGAGCCCAGTTGCTGATACGCAGGCGGCACATCGGGCAAGACAAGTTTGACTGTTCTACATTCTGCCGAAAACATGGCATACAGAGCTCATGACTGCAAGGCATGGTAACTGGCTCCACCAAAATACACAGGCAGATGGGGCATATGCATTCTGACAACCTTAAAGACGCCATTTTATTCCTATTTCCGTGTAAAACCCCATTAAAGTCGATTGATCATAGTCTTTCGCAACAAGTCGCCATTAGCGTTGAAGCGCGCGATAAGTGCGTATGTAGAATTCAATACGGATATTTTGTGTAGAATATGCATAGGGCCTACTAAAGTACAACATGTATAAACATGTTAGTTCGCAGGCGCTACCTTCAAAACCTATACAGGCAATTCACTAACATAATTTTCTACTGTACTGGTAAACGTGGATCAGCGAATTATAAATCTCGCCAGGGTCTGCCGAAAATTTGTCTAGTATATCCAGTCTTACACAATTCCACTGATATAACAGACATGAAAGACAATATTTTTGTTAAGAACATAATGCATACAACAACCTTGACAAGCTATCCCTAAGCTTACCTGACATAACAGGTTATATGCAGACTGCTGGATTCCGAGTATAGTACTACTCGTCACTGGTCCCCTAAACATCCTAAATTTGAATATGTTAATAAACCAGTATATTGTCCAATACTTGGGGTGCAACCCCCCCCCCCCTATTGTGAGGCTAAATATGATAGGTTAGGGGGATAACATCGTTGATACCGGGCTGTATTGATAATATTAAAATATGTCAGGTCCGAAGGGGCGTCTTCCAATGCGGAGGGGGGGGGGCGCCAAAAAAGGCTCTTTTGGGGAAAGAAAGGGGCACCTTCAAAGGGAAAGCGAAAATATACAATTGATGTTGGACGTTAGGCGTTGTAAGACGTCTAACAATTTATAATTGTTAGACATTTGCATTTACTCCTGCGCTGTGATTAATACATTATCAGAAACGATTTCAATATTTGTTTTCTCTTTCTCTATTATGGTCCAAGATACTGATTAAAAATGTTTCAAAATTGTCAATAATTTAAAATCTTTTCTTCAATAAATTTCCCCCTTATAAAGCTAGTTTAAAGACAAAAAAGCATAAGCCGTTTGAGGAACACTTTTCTAATCGTGAAAGTCTGAAAATACACTGTTTGTCATAATGGTGGAATAATTTTTTTAAACCCAGTTTATGGAATGATTTTGACAATGATTTATTCCTAAAGATCCAGATAATAGTATACATTCTCAGACTTTATTGAATAATGCCTTGCGAGTGACGTGACTGCTAAAGCATCCACTAGGTGACCTACGGCCTTAAGTCATAAATGACAGTAATAAGGATTAACGCCTCACAAAAGGGCACTAATATAGCACATCGACACGGTTTTGATCCTGGGCCCTCACAGTAACGAGGATAATGCTTTGCCAACGAATCATGACTGTACGCAGCGGGGGTTAGCGTAGGGGGCAGCCCCCACAAATAAAATAAAAAACAAAGAACATGCTATAAATTATCAATAATTCTTTGCACTCCCCCCCCCCCCCCCCGGTCCCCAACAGGAAAATTCCTCTGTAAGGCCATGCATTATAGTTCAAGGCATGGCCACACGGAGGATTTTTTTTATGTTGGGGATCTGGGCAAAATGCAATTGCATTATTATTGATAAGTATAGTAGCACACACATGCTTTAGCAGTCACGTAAAACAATCACTTACAAACTATTATTCAATAAAATCTGAGAATGTATACTCTATTATCTAGATATATTGAAAATAAATCATTGTCAAAGTCATTCCGTAAACTGAGGTAAAAAAAGATTATTCCACCTTTATGACTTACAGTTTACTTAAGCTACATAATTATATCAATGCGGGCGAGCTCCTGGGGGGGGGGGGGGGATACAAAGATTGCTCTATCTAAGTTGGTTTAGATTAGGGGCACATATCGAGAAAGGAAAAGGGGGCATTTATCAACACGGAAAAGGATACTTTTTAGAAAAGAAAAGGAGCACATGTCAGAGTTAAAGGGGAAATTGTCAAAGGTGAAAAAGTGGCCTTCACGAGAGAAAAAAGGGGCACGTATGAAAATAGAAAAGGGGCATATCATCAGAGGTAAGAAGTGGCATTCATAAGAAGTGGAAAAGGCCCTAATTAAAAATAAAGGGGACATTTATCAGAGGTGAAAAGGGAAACGCATCAGAGATGAAAAAGAGCACTTATCAGAAGGGAAAGGGGCACTTCTAAGATCGTAAAATCAAACATATTAGAAAGAAAAAGGGGGACTTATCTGAAGTAAAATGGGTCACTTTCCCTATGTAAAGTGGGGGGGGGGCGCCTCTAAAATATTTACATAGAATCCCAGCGACCGAGCATGCAGCTTTCGAATTTTACATTTTTTCTTTACGATTTTGCTGAATTTCGCAACACATGGCCCGGTGTGAAAAGGTGCTTTACATTTAATAATTTGCTCGAATCGAGATTGTGGTTAAAATTTGAGAAGAGAGCACAAGTTTATCAATATGTTACAGGTTTAGGTTTTATTTAAATTTGTTAAAAGTATACCTTTTGTTTATCTGGAGATATCGGGGATTGAACCCGAGGCCTCTCACATGCGAAGCGAGCGCTCTACCACTGAGCTATATCCCCGCGTGTACAGGGACTCTGATTAAAGTAATTGGAAGAAACAAATCCTGGTATTGCTTTGCTCTCTCTCTCTCTCTCTCTCACCCCCTTTTTCTTTGCTTTTAAAAAAGGGTACTCCTCAAAGTTGAAAAGGGGTAGGCCTACTTATTAAAAAGGAAATGGGTACTTATTACAAAGGAAAAGGGGCACCTCTCAGATTTTAATAGGGTCAATTATCAGGGGGTTAAAGGGGCACTTGTTAAAAGATTATGGGACCAAAAAACTGAATAATTACTGAGATTCGAACTTAATTTTCAAGCCCCTATTTTTTTATGGGAAGTTCTAAATTAGCATTATCTTTCAAATGCCGTTGGAATTTAATCTTTTGATTTCTTTGGCCTGCAAAATGTGACATAGTACCTTTCAGTTCCTATTGAGCCAATCAATGCAGCGGTAGGATGTCTAGGTAAGGTTAACAAAAGCAACACGCCCCCAACGTTAAAAGTAGACCTTGCCATTCCTCTCATTCTCATTGAATTTTTTTTTCTTCTGTATCCCGAAATTAGTGTTGGCAAACTATGTGAACGTATTTCACTCTCCGAGAAAATACATGGCCCATTTCGTTGCGGTGTTTTCCAATCTTCCACGAAATATGTTCGCCTGTTTCTTCTTTTCATTTCTTTCATTCAATATCATCGTGGCGTATATACATACTCAAACCGAGATTGTGGTTCAACTTGGAAAGAGTGTACATGTATCAATGTTTCAAGTTTTCCAATTAAAAAAAAAAAAGTATACCATTTTCATCTGGAGATATCGGGGATTGAACCCGAGGCCTCTCACATGCGAAGCGAGCGCTCTACCACTGAGCTATATCCCCGCCTATGCATAGACAGTGACTCTGTTTAAATTAATTATGGTAAAATCCTGGTACACTGGTCTTTGTTTCTCTCTCATTCTCTCTCTCTCTTTCTCTCTCTCTTTCTCCCTCTCTCTCCCTCTTTCTATCTTTTTCTCTCTGTCTGCATCTCTCTCTCTCTCTCTCTCTCTCTCTCTCTCTCTCTCTCCTTTCTGTCTAGTTTCTCTATCCCCCACCCCCATCTTTCTCTCCCTCACTCTCTGTCTCATTCCCTCCTCATCCCATCCCCTATCTCGAGTAGAGTAAAGGTTGATTTCTATTTTGTTTAATCAATAGGTCTACATCCAGATTGAATCAATACTCACATGTGCAGCATAAAATAGTGGCAAAGAGGGCCGTAGTTCTATGGTTGCATATTGAGTCTCTGATCTGTTTCAAATCCTCGGTCAATAACAATCATTCCAAACGTTTTGTATATTATTTAATGTACTTTCCTTAAGATATTCATTGTGTAGTCATGTTGTTTGCATTTCATTCATTATACATTCCTTTATTAAACTCATATAAACTCAATATTTTTTTTTCAATTTTAATTATTCAGCCAATCATTAAAAACAATTTACAATGACACTGGTACTGGTACAATTATAAAATGATGACAGGCTATGGACCCCTGAGAGCAGAGCTTGTAAATGGGGCCCATTAACATACAATTAAATACAAATATAATAAAAATGAAGCCACTTCTTAAAAACCCTTTTATACCAGTAGGCATACAGCACAATATCATTCCATGTCAGCATAGTATATGAGCCGGCGGTTTAAAGAGCCTTTTATTTTTTGTACAAATTTAAAAGAACAGACCAAACATTTCTGTTTTAATTTGTCAAACAATTTATTAATAATGTTTTTCCACATAACTAAAAATCTCATGTTTTCAACACAGATAATCAATAGTGTAGAATCCTTCTTTTTTATCGAACGCCCTCTACATGTCATGACTCAAGTTATCACAGCATCTTCTATTCAGTGGCAGTATACAGTTACGGGGGGGGGGGGGGGTGAAATCTTCTCTCTCTGCCTCTCCTCCCCTCCCTCAATCACAAAAATCAAAAGTGAGGTACAATTAGAAAAATGAAAGCAAGGCCCCCGCTGAAGTGCCCCTCCACCAAAAAATATGCAGGAGTAAAGATGATACAGACAGAGGGCCGGTACATGATTAGAGGGGGGGGGGGGGGGGGGGCACGGGAACACGCCCCATCCAATGGTGTGGGGGATCGAGAGGGGACAAGAAGCAAATGAGGGGAGGGAGAGGCCGGAGGGCGAAAGGGAGAGAGAGAGGAGGAAGAGGAAGAGGGGGAGAGAGAGGGAGAGAGAGAGAGAGAGAGAGAAGAAGAGAGAGGGAGAGAGAGGGGGGAGGGAGAGGGACCTGCAGTATAACAAAAAAGGGAGGAATCTAGTGCGTGTTTGTCATAGCCTCTTCTTGCTCTTGAGGATACAATAGTTATGTTGAGCATATAATAATTATTGTAAACGGTCGGTTAAAGGAAGGGTGAAATAAAATGCTGAATGATAATGATGGCACGTGGGAAACAATAATCTCGAAAACATAGCGATTTTGTACTCTTATTATATAAGAGCAGAAGTAACACAATTCTTCCTGAAAGATGAAATATTTCATTATTAATTAGGTGGTCTGTCGATGACAGATCACCTATTGATTTCGTTAGAATTTTCTTTCTTTATTCTTTATTCTTTATTTATTTTTATTTATTCCGTACACTTTTTTTGTGTATACGTTTACTCGAAATCGACTTGGTCAATTTCCTTCAAATTTCTGATAGTCATTAGGCCCTATAATATCAAGTTCCCGAAACCTTTTTCAAGTTCATGGGGTCATCGTGACGTCATCCAGGCGCCATTTTGTAAAAATCAAGTCATTATCATATCTCGATAACGAGTCTTCAAAAATAAACCATATTTGGTATACATCAACTTCAGGTCAAAGTTCAACTAAAATTGTCAACAAAATTTGCGCGCGCACCTCGACGCGCACGTACGCGCGCTTTAAAATTTTAAAATGCTCAAATTCGTTCCAAATTTTTTTTGCACACGTTTCAGGCCATTGTAAGCATTTTCAAGATTTTGCGCGAGAGCACTTTTTTGCGCGCGTTTCCGCGCGTAAGTGCGCGTACTGACATTTTACAACATGGAAACGCCAAATTTTCTCTATCATATCAACCACATTTTTCCAAGCATTTTGATACCTTGTTCACCTTTTTCTGACCAGTGATAACGCAATGAGCGTCCGTCAAAGTTTACAGCACACGCGGATCTGCATTATCCCTATCCACATTACATGTGCAAAAACAAGCCTATACAAAATTCATTTTAACTCTTCAGAATGGATAGATACCCCCAATTTTTTTTCATATTTAGATAGATCATGAGTCGGAGATATGATTTTATGTCTAATTTGACCCTCAATTAACTCATGACGTCATCATAATGGCCTCCGAACTTAAAATTTCAATTTGCATATTATGACGTTAGCAGATTTTTGGAAAATTGATTGTATCTCTGTAAATATTGATCAATTTTCTTTCAAATTTTGATATGTTTTAGCTGAGAATATTCTCTACGAATGTATTTCCCACGATATTTCATTTGAACAATGGCATCATGGCGTATTTTTGCGATTAAAGGAGGCATGTCAATTTTTCACATTTTGCGTGTATTCTCTATGGGACATGACTTTTTCTCAAAACTGGTTTCTACATTCTTGTCTTTCGCGAGCAATATCTCCGTCGTTTTATCTTTGTTTACGCTGAGCTTTGAGTATGTTGTAGCTGAGTCAATATGCTATCGTAAGTGTGCCCTTTAATTTTCGATCAGATGCCGGGATCATGCTCATATTTCACTTACAAAGTGGGATTTGATAATTCCATTTTCCGTTTACGTGTAATCTCTATGGGAAATATTTTGGTACATCGGTAACGCACTTGACTTCCGACCTCGAGGTCCCTGGTTCGAGTCCGGGCGTCTCCAACAATTTTTTTCTTCACTTTTTTTTTCTTTTTGACCTTTCACTGTACCTTTTCCTTTGCTTATTAAAACACGTAGAATCACAAATAATGTTATAAACAACCATGTTTACTTTATTATTCCCCTATTATCACTTGATCCATTACTTTCTGAGTGTAGTCCCTATGGGAGATGACTTTTTCTCAAATCTGGATTCTACATTCCTGTCTTTTGCGAGCAATATCGCCGTTATTTCCGTTTGGTTTTTGTTGATTTTGGAGTATGTTGTAGCTGAGACTATATGCTATCTAAATGTTCCCTCATTTTTTTCAATCAGATGTCATCATGGTCTGTTGATGATCATCATCAACATCATCATGATCATCATCATCATCATCAACATCGTCATCCCCATTACTATCAAGATCATCATCATCATCATGATGATCATCATTGTTTACATGTCTATATAACTTCTCCCTTTCTCAGTATAGTAAGTATTATAATCTATCATAAGACTTGAAGACAGACCACCTTAATCGTCCTCGTGACGATTTAAATTCTAGTTTAAATCTATTTTTAGTTCCGGCCATACCCGGCTTCCACTGGTCTTCTTTTGAATTCAATGACCCATATTTGAAAAGAGGTATTTTCACAAAACTTCAGTTGCCAAACATAATCTTTCCTTGCTCCTTGCTCCAAATGCTCCATTTCTCTCTCTCTCTCTCTCTCTCTGTATTTTTGTCTCTCTGTCTCTGTCTCTCTGTCTCTCTGTCTCTGTCTCTCTCTCTCTCTCTATATATATATATATATATATCATTTACCCTCCCCTTCTCTCTCTCTCCCTCTCCCCCTCTCCCTCTTTCTCTCATTACCCCCTGCCCCTTCTCTGTCCGTCTCTCTAGAACAGGTTTTTGTAACAGAAAACACACATTATTATACGCAGGAATTGTTCCAAAATTCTGTATTTTTTAAAGAAGAATCATTTACAGAAACTTGTTTAAAACATGATTTATTTCTTCCGGCTTTCGTCACTAACGTCATACACTCGTCATAAATTCTCAGTTTGTATTTACTCTGTTCACGACGTACGTTTCCAATGTTTATTTTTCACAGTCTTTGTTTAAAATGGGTACAAAAGGGCGTGTCACGCTTTAGTGAACACAACACAAAGAGGGAAGACAATTTACACGATGTGTAGTCTTTATATGTAGGCACTAAATATAGGCCCTATATGTAAGTGTGTCGAAACTTTACAACTAAGTCAGTTTGTGCTGGTTGCAAGTGTGATATGGACAAATTTGATTATTTTTTCATAGTCTCAATTATAATTTAATAACTTCTTTATAATAAATGTCGTTCAATTAACAAATTTGTTTCTTAAACATACTTTGATAACATAAGTGTCTAGGTTTCTAGACTAATACAGGTGTGATCACTGGATGTGACGTACGGCACGCGTTCACCGAACCGTTAAGTTTTCTTTTATCCCAAGTTTTAACGTAACCACGTGAACAGTTACGGATATTTTTAGAAGAGAGGTACAGGTTTATGAATTCGATGGTCGTATAACAGAAACAATATAACTCCTCACAAAAGTCGCTTTGAATCAGCAGTATACATCCACAATATATATTTCAATTTGTATCTGGAAAGACATAAGCGAATTTCATCTTTCGCACGGAAGTATCGACTAATCGACTCAATTGAACAGCTTTCTAGCAACTATACGGCACATGTAAGTACGATCATATTAATACATTCTAATAATTATGTTCTAGATAAAACAAAACCATGATTATCTGTGTGTTCTACTATGTAGTTCTCGATTCAATATCTTTCGTATAATGTTAGTCAACAGCTTGTTTGCTGTCACTGTTGAAAGTCGCAAATCAAAAATTTGTTTTCCGTTACGTAGGCTATATGCCAACTTCTTCTTTCTGATTTATATTTTTTTCTCCCCAAAGTTGAGCAATGAAATGAGACATTAGCAGCTGTTTCCTATAAATTTGGCTTGCAATGTCCATCCTAAAAGAAGGCACATTTTTATAGGAAATAAGTAAATTGGCAATTATGTTCATAATATAGTCTGATCATAGAACAAGATAATGATAAAGTTGTCATTAAGTGCAAGGGGCGAGCAAGCAGGTATGTTCTTTTTTTTTTTGGGGGGGGGGGGCTTAGGGGAAATTGAGGGGCTGTGAGTTCTTGCATTCCTCTTTGTTAACATGTTCCTCGCTAAATCTCATTCATAATAAAGACAAATTAGGGGGGGGGGACATATCCATCAGAAAATCTAAGAATAGAAATAAAACAGATTTAGAGTTTGGGTACTCCATCCGATGCCGGATATGCCCCTGGGTGACAAAACAGAAAAGTATCGGGGGAAATCCCGGGAATGAATACCAGCATAAGAGAGACAAGAGGAGGAGCTTGTGTATGTCAAATGTCAGGTCTCATCTTCAGGGGATATAAGATTCTATTTACATACATCCTACCCGCAAGATGAATATCTCGATCAGTCTCACTAAAAGAGAAGTGATATCATTATTAGCGCGGTGGTGTTATGATGCACAATGTTGATATAGTATGAAGAGATTGGAAAAGGGTAAGATATAGGGCAGAGCGGGAGGGGGATAGATGGGGTTAGACTAAGGAGGACAAGATGAGGAGGAAATGACGAGAGGAGAGAGGGAGAGAGAGAGAGAGAGAGAGAGAGAATGAGAGAGAGAGAAAAAGAGGAAACATGATGATGAATGAGAAACTGGAATTGGTAGAGGGGCATAGAATGAAAGATGGGGTTGAGTGTGGTTGAGGGAGGGGGCGGGGAGGCAGAGAGAGAAGGTGAGACATTATTGATAAAAAGACACAAGTTGGGTCAAGAGGTCAGATTCTTGACTTGCCATCCGATACTCAATATCAATTCCATCATCTCTTATGTCTATTCTAGAATAGAGTCGAGAGATGAGATAGGCCTATATAAACGACAGCCAAGTAAATAAGCTAGACAAAAGCTTCGCAAAAGAACGCTTCGTATTACTAACTACATGTTTGTTTCCTTTACCAAGTAAATAAGTCAAACAATAACGCAGAAAATGATTTAGTTTGTAAGTAGAGATACACAGTCATCCGTCATCATTCTGCAAGAAGACACCGTTTCCAATTACTTTTGCAATCACCCCGTTCATTTCGTAGTGCTCCAACAATGATACAGCGCAGCAGTGACTCTGCTGAAGGGTTCCTTCAGTAACAAACAATAACGCGGACCCGCATGGATCCGTCATTAATCTCTTCGATGTCACAATATGTCATAACTTGATTGTTTTTCGTCAATGCATTGCGCTAATTAGCTAGATCAAAGAGATAACTTTTCGTAGTAATGATTCGGTCCGATTTGTGTTGAGTGGTTGTACGGTAACGGGAATTCCAGATAGCGCTTAGTCTGTAGACACAGACTCTAATTTGAAATTTTAAAACATTTCATGAAGCCTTGAGCACAGCTAGCAACGTCGGTTCTTGTCCAAAGAAGTTATGGTGGGGTCACTCAATGTGACTTCCGGACCGCATGATCGTTACCAAAATCGCGGAAAAAGGGGTCAATTTCAAGCAATGTCCGCGGACAAAATATTCCTCGAAATAAAGAAAATAGGGGTGCACAGGTGTCCCCGAAATTGATAAATAGGGGTCAGGAAAAGGGAAAAGAGAAATCCGGGAAGGGAAAAGAGAAAACCGGGAAGAAAAATTCTCGGAGCCGAGTCTTGTCCTTGAAATATGGTAAAATAGGGGTAAATTTGCGAAAGTGTCCTTACAATCTTATAAATAGGGGTATTCCAAAGTACGATTTTGTCCTTGTTTTGACGTAAAAAAGGGGGTTAAATTTCACAAAATGTCCTTGAAATTGACCGCAAAAGGGGGTTATATGCATTGGTGGTAACGGTCATACGTGTCACTCTTTGCAGGGGAGTGACCCCACCGGGTGCAGTATGCCGTCAGCCTAGTCTCACAGTGCAGACACTGTTACGCCCTATATCTGACAATACTGTTTGTGCATGCAAACTATATTACAGGGAATTCATTACAGGTAGCGTTAACAGTGGTTAACAAAATGACTTTCAACCTCTCTGTCGTGGAGTGGAAATCCACTGTTTTGCCAGGGATATCACATATCCCTGGTTTTGCCAGTCATAATAATTTGTTTATCAGATATTATTATCTAATCAACATTAATTTTAAATGCCCGAGAAATAACAACATTTCAAAATTGGTACAGTTTTCTTTAATTTGCTGCTCAGCATGTAAAACGTGTAAATCTACCGTTTTAAAATGTTGTCACTCCTCGGCCATTTTAAAATGTCGATTTTAAATTTGAGGTTTAGAGATCGAGTAGGGATCTCTTCATGTTAGATTTGAATCCACTCCAAATCATAGAGCCTTCCAAACCACGACTTTGAGTGTATCCACTATGACTGGAAAAGGATTCAACTCCACACCAAACGAAGTGATTTCGAACCACTCCGAAAAGAGTGGATTCCCATTCAAGCTGATAAAAGGGGTCCCGTAACTCGGAATGGGCGAGGGGGTGGCTGAGAGGCTGCAGCCCTCCACCCCCTCCTTCCCCTTCCCCACACATACACACACCTTTGAAGACATCTTTACCATAGACCTACTATGCACCGTTACAGAACCGTGGCATTGCGATAAAAATGATATGCATGCTTGTTTGCGGGTTCAGCCCCCCCCCCTCCCCAACCCCCGCCTCGGCTATACGACACGTTCACGTCCGAATATGGAAATAAAACGTGTTAATGGAAGATGCACCCTTTACAACTCTGACATAGCAGGAAAAGTAGACCAATAATTCCACTGTAATCACCCAAGGCGTATAGAACTTCATTACATGTAATGGACCCATACTTCGTTTGGACATGTCACTAGAAGCAATGAAGAAAAATCTTTATACGTTTATCCACGTGAGCAAAAGAGCCTTAAGAAAGGCAAAGTACCCTCAAACCAGGGTATGTGAGTTCCTGCTCAAACCATCAAGACCTTCTTCAAATATCCTTGGTTTCTGGCATTGTCTTTTATTCTAATGACTAAGGTTTGTTATTATGCACTTCCGTCAGTCTATATTTTGGCCAATTAGATAATTGATGTCTTTCTCATGGTCTCGTTACCAAACTATATGAGGTGTAGGGGGAGGGGGAGAGGTGGTTGCATTGTCTTGTAGTTTATCCATTTATCGACATTCAAGGGAGAAGTCCTGCTCCAATCTTTTATATGACAAATAGTGGCATAACGTCACTTTGACGTGTAAGTAATAATCTATTAATGTTATATATTGGGCGTAATCGATGCAAAACCTTTTCCCATCTGATTTGATATTATGACATTTTGACAGCTTTGGGGTTTATTGTTTGAGTCTGTTTACCAGGTAAGCGGAAAAACCTGTTCCGAATGAAAGGAAATGAGCACATAATGTCGGAATTGCACGTTTCCTAATCTTTACAAGGTCGGAAGAGTGACATAAAAATGTTGTTTGCCCATTTTCATTTATTAGTCTAAGTCTACTTATCATGTTTTACCATGGAAACATCATTATACATTACATGCAGGTCGAGACCCTATTTTGCACAACATTTGCAGTGCGAATTATATATATTTTTTATGTGATACACCTCGATTGATTCCAGTTATAACTTTTCATTTTGCACGGTTGGTAACTTTTTTTAAATTGTGATATTTCTAAGTACCAATAACAGAAACAAACAAGAAATCCACAAGATTTAAACTCTTCCAAGTATATTACTTTTTATTCTGCACATGAAATAAATATCAACTTTAAATGAATATAGGTTTAAATTCATTTATTTCGTTTTTAAAGACTGATAAATTGATGGTAATAGGTCTTGATGATATACCGGCAGGCACAATAACTAAAATAGATCTACCAGGGCCTTTTCTTTGATTGGCTTAGTAAAATAAAATGGAATTAAAGCATATTTTAACCTTGTCCCTTTCTTAGAATCTTCTCGAAGATTCTAAGACCAATTAAATCTTAGCCCTGCTTGCCTTCTTTCACATCAATAATCATACAGTACTTGAAATTAACCTTCAGCTAAAACGCAGTCTGCTGTAAGCAAAACATGTTATGACGTATATGACCATACCATAGACCCCCTCCCAGCCTATTACGGCTATGTCGTCATGCTATTAAACCTCGAACTACATGGCGTATCCAGTCCAAGTTAGGGGGGGGGGGGGGGGCTTAAAGGGGGCACGTCTACCCCTTTTTAATGAAGAATCCTAGTTGTGTTCTGACGCATTAAAATATTAGACTTTGAAAGCTGCATAGTAAATATGTGATAGCTTTTTCTTATTTTCAGAGATTTTGTTCGTGATGGTGCCCCTCCTTATTTTTTTTAGATAACAGAATCATGGGTCCACTCCTGTTTGAACTCCGCTAGTAATGCGTCCTCCGGCCATTCCGGAGTACCACATCAAGCGTTCCATCTGTCAATCTCTCAAACATTGGTGTACATAGAGCATGATGTGAAGCACTGTTCGCCCCTATTTAGTCCCCCCCCCCCCCCCCCTCCCCAATTCGGGGTCGGAGGGACCGCATTCGTGTTCCCAAAATGTCCGGTAAAGGAGTACTTTTCACGCACCAAAAGCCGGCTCGTAGTACACAAAAATCCGGCCCGTATTGACTTTACACACCGGACTTAAGGGGGTGTTTTC